TAGCTAAGGTGTTCAGATATTTTAAATTTAAGTTTTAGATTTCTAAAAATCGTTTTGGTTATACCTACTTAGGGACATCAGAAAATATTTTGGTTTTAGAAATGGCCTAATAAGAATATATCTCGTTAATTAAAGTCTACAAGAAGACGAGTTAGAAAATGTAACACTTGGATTATTAGAAGTTTGCTGAATATTTTCTGATGCATCTAAATAAGCTTTGCGCCAAAACCCACGTTGACTGAATGGCTGTATCTAACTATTACCGTGTTCGTTAGCTTAAAAAAAACTCAATAACTACCTATACATTGGTCAAAGTACTCGTACGTACCTGTTAAATAAAGAATGCGAACGAACAAAATGAAAATTACGTAATGAAAATGAAAAATGATGAAGAATAAAAAATCAGAGAGACCAGCCACCGCTGCGACAGTGAAAAGTTATCTTTGACAACTTTTGACAATGACAATGCACAAAGCATTTTTAATTTTTATTTTTATACTCTAATAAATGTTTTTCCTACCACTCGACACTGGCAGTATAGTCGACAACACAATGTTGGAGACTCGGTTGCCAAAGAAGAAAAAAAAATGTTTTTCCTAGTACCTATTTTAAAAACTGCTCAATTTCCTACCCGCCATTTTTTGAGTCAACGTGTCTATTAGTTGTTACTAGAATTATTAATTAATTAAAATTAAGTTTTACTGTGATAAAAATACGATTTTGTTTTCAAACTGCTGTGTTTGACAATATTTATTGTCTTATGAATAAAAATTAATAAATGGATGTATAAAATAAAGTGAGTTGTAAAATTATTGCTTCCTTACTCCTTACACACCCACTTCCACCCCACTTCAGATAGCAGTCAGACAAACTTAAAAGAATGGAGATCCTATAATAAGAAGGTACCCTACCTTGTTGCTTCCTACTTAGTCAAATTCAACGTTTCATCTTAATTTGTTTAAAAACGAAAATCCGCTCAGTAACCAACTTACTATCTACTTCAAAAATTCTACAAATATACCTACTTAAAATTTGAAAATTACTTATTGAACATCTCTATCATTTTCCTGCTAAACAGACCGGCAATAAGGACTTCAATCCAGTTGAAACACCATCGAAGCACAACGCAACCTTTTTTTTTGTTGACGGGGAAACATTCAAAAGACGCCTAGTTTTTTTGGGGAAAAAAAGACGAAGAGTGTGGGATTTTTACCTCACTAAAACCTTCCCGGGGTGGCCACCATCCGCACCTAAAGGAGGCACCGGGGCCTCTTAGTAGACCAACTCCGTAGCCCTCACGGTGCAACGCCTGTTACGGCACCTACCAATGGCGTACAAAGCAACCTATTGACCCGATATTTTTTGGAGTAATAAATAAATTATGACAAAATGTAGCGCAGTGAAACGGTTATGTAAGTAATAATTTATGATAATTTGTACTCAGAGTCTCAGAGGCCAGTCGCATGGCCAGTCCGGCTGTCATTAAGTAAGTCGACAACGCATTTGTAACATCCCTGGCGTTGCGAGTTAAGGTCAAAACACACTAAAGATCATTGCACACCTAACAAGCATGGTCCCGGCCCGGCTCAAACACGGCTCCGGCTTGGCTCAAGCACGGCTCCGGCATGGCTCAAACACGGCTCCGGCACGGCGAGATTTGCTTTGGAAACAATTCAAAAAGGTTGTCATCGCGCTGTCGATGAGCGCGCGACGCGCTTATAGCATTTTATTTTGACATTATAAAATATATCATACGACATATGATTTAAAGTTCATATCTAAATAACAAGTTCATTGCTGGCTTGGAACCTTCACGCGGCGCTTGTCCACCTTGTTGGTAAAAAAGATTAAGGGCCGATTTTTCAATCATCAGTTACTTGAGGAATAACTTTGAATATTTGACAATTATTTCAACTATCAAATATTATTCTATAGTTAAGAAATAACTGATGTTTGGAAAAACGGACCAAAATCAAGACATTTAACTAAAATATGGATTATCGCAGTTATGGTCGGTATCTATACCGTACACAGGCAGGGGGTAGATACTCAACCAGACCCGAGCGTGCGGCGCGTCGCGTCCCGCGCGCGTCTCAAGAGCCATCAGACCACCACCGATAGGGCCCAATAGGGCTGATGCCGATACGGAGCCGCGGAAGACTTAACGGGTTGCCGGGGTTCCGGCTCGAAGTGCAGGAGTAGGAACGGGGTGGTTTTTAGTCATCAAGAGTCTGATACTCCCTCCTGCCTCACCCGGGCGGGAGCAATCATTGGATGATTTATCCCCTCAAAAAAAGGCGTAGATACTCGTGTTCACATTAAACTAGGATTAGGTACTTAGGTAAATTAACTAAAAGCTTACAGTTATATAACTTGTTACGTATTTACCTAAAATTCAAAATAATTCTAGACTGAAGTTCTCCAGAAAGTAATAATAGGTACCTAGCTTCCTACCTATGCTCCATCAGTCTCCTTCTGCAAGAGATAGCAGACGGACCCTCTGATGGTAAGCGAGTTGTTTAAATCTCCCAATCGATTTCGATTACGGTGGCAAGTCTAACTAGACTAGCCTATTACGCAGGAAATATTATAGTGCACAAGTATGTGCACAAACACAAGTGCACTCTCTGCTCCCTCACTCCCTGAACCTGATGGGTCGGCACACCGACACGACCGGAGAGAGATCAGATGCAGAACAACGACGCCTTTATCTGATTTCCGAGGCACGGGGGTGAAACACTGCCGAAGTTCTCTACTCCAGGATAAATAATGATCATTTTACTCAGAAAATGCCATTAGGTTTCACTTTTTGGACACGTTGCACAGGCCCAGTCTGGTCCGGTCACCCAACCACCGCGTCATACGAATTGTGGACGTGTTTAGTAAGTAATCCGTAACCAGTGGGTAACCGTAATCCGTAACCGTAGCCGTAACCTGTAATAACCTCAGTAGGTGGGTAACCTATCAGTACTATGATATTATAGATTATTTTTTCTTTTTAGTTTAGACTTTTTGTTTGTTAAATTACTTTTTGGTTTTATGAAGTCGGTTTTTTAAACGCTTTTTATTTTATTATTTTATCATTTTCAGTGTAAAGCTACATAGATCCGTTTTGACACTTATAATCTGCATAGGTACAAAGTCCTAATCAATACAAATTCTACAAGCCCAAACACAAGGTAGTTACTTTAATTACTTTACCGTTGAAGAGTTCCCTTAACAATTACACTTCTTCATTATCAGACTCTTAATGACAGTCCCACTCTATCTAGGTGTAAAGTCCTCATCGATAGAAATTAATCAAGCCCAAACATAAGGTAGTTACTGTATACCGTTGAGGAGTTCCCTTAACAATTACACTTCTTCATCATCACACCCTTAATGACAGTCCAACTGTATCTAGGTCGAAAGTCCTCATCAATACAAATTAATCAAGCTCAAACACAAGGTAGTTAGTATAAATGGCTGAGGAGTTCTCTCGACTGTCTGTCGGCTCCATCATCAGGTCGACTCTGGAGTCGACCTCCCTTATCAAATTGTAGTGTTTAAATATTCTAATTGAAAAACATAATAGACGCCCCTATAATTTTCGAAAGTTCCCCTCGGTTTCCCTAGAATACCATCATCAGATCCTTTTTTTATGACGGGGGGAGACCTTCAAAATGCGCATAGCCTTTATGGGGATAAACACACTTCGTAGGTACGTGTAAACTTCATAAAAATAAAATAAACTATCAAAAACCCTTCCACAATCTGCAATATTGCGAATTAAAATACTCACTAGTTTTAGGAAGGAAAGGCGCTGAGCTATAGGGGGAAAGGATCAGTCAGAGCGACTAGGGGATGTGGCTACTTGATCAGTTCAGTAGCCAAACAATAGTTAAAAGATGACACCATTAGACGCATAAAGGCGTTTGAAATATGGTAGGTATTACCGGCGGATGTTGCGTATAAGTTGGACGCAAAAGGTCAGGAAGGATACGGTGCTCCAGCGCGTCCACATGCCACGCAAAATGATCCAAATCATCAAAAAGCGCAAAATAGAATATCTCGGTCACGTACTGAGACATGACAAATACATGCTGCTTCATCTTATAATGATGGGTAAGGTGGAAGGGAACAAACCGCTGGGCCAAGGAAAAAGTCGTGGCTGCACAATATTCGGGAGTGGACTGGTATCAGCTCTGTGGAACCACTTTTTCTCCTGGCCAATGACAAGGACCAATTCAAAAAGTTGACGGCCAACCTTCAAGAATGAAGTGGCACCATAAGAAGAAGAAGGTCTTCCCAATAGACCAACTAGTCCTAGTCAATCGTTGTATGTAACGATTGGTACACCAGATTTTCAGTCTCGCTGTGCAAAGCAACTCTGATCACCGTGATCTCTTCGAACGTGTACTGTGCGGCATCCAGGTCACATAAACAAGCCAGCTACTGCCAAAATATACCTGTTACCGATTGGCTGAAATTTAGAACCACCACATTACCAGATTGGACTAAAGCTGCCTGATTGATGTAACGAGGGCAACTTCAAATCTTTTGAGTTTAGAATTTGACTTTGCATGAAATCATCATGACCTGTCGCCGACCTGCATTACCAGATCACCTGTAGGGATCTTTAGGCTTTTTCAATATTAGAAATTCTTAGTAATAGCTCGGATTCTGAATGGCAGTAGGCTCGCCACCGACTTCGACTGACGAAAAGTGGGTGCAAATGTGCCTACCTCTCAGGAAAATAGGATTTATATTACAAATGAAAATAGTAAGTTTTTTTACGGAGCCTTTATTAATACTTTGAGAACACCAATTACATAATGATCATAATATTGAAAATTGAAATGCTAGCAATGATGCTTTGAACATTACTAGAGTTTCTGTAAACCTGCGTCGGTTTGTTGCAATAGGTCAATGGATCAGGCGACTCGAGGCAACCAAATCAGACATTGGGCTATTGCCTACATCTACATCTTGAAATCGTGAATGCTACATATAATACGACACCACTTAAAATGTAATATTTATTTCAAAAACCAGCATCTTACAATCTTCATACAAGATGAAGTGACCATCTCAAACCTACTGGTTCACCACCCAAGGGAAGTGGGAACAGAATCCTGGGCCATCATACCTTTCAAATCATTCCATAATAATTATCAGAACTACAACTATGAATATATGACTGCATACCCTAATGGCAGCTTACACAACAATTGATTAATACATTGAGAAAATGTCTATACACTTCTCTGTACCAAGAAAAAGGAATTATGATACCCTAATGGCTACATGTAGGTCATAATATTAATTGAATAATATATTATCATAAAATTCCAGCATTTCCTCTGCCCGGGCAAACTTTGACTTGTTTTATTTTAATACAATATTAATCCAAATGTCTCCTAATGGTAACATATATTGCAAAAATTAGTTGAATCTTACACTAAAATCCAATATATAATTAGCCTTATTAGCAATAACATTAAATTAGACATTGATTATTTGTATTGAATTATTTGAAAACTAGAAGTTACCAATAAGCATATGATGAGTACAATCATTAGCTTTAGCATTCTCAATCATAAGTATATCACCTCACCAAATGTTCTTGATTAAAATTTCCTCATAATTATTACTTGTTTAAGTACATACAGTAGCAATAAGAGTACATATTTCATTAAGAAATTCCATTAAGTACTGAGATTCCAATTCAACTCACCAACAAGTTGTACAGACCAGATTTATTATAGTGGTATGGTTAATATAATTACATAGTTCTGATTGATATATTGGATAAAACCAGTATATGAAGATTAATTACTATAAGTATTAATATAGACACCAATAGTTTTAAAATATCGAGACTACTAGCTGAATGCAGAGATGTTACATTAATTCCATTGGAAGGAAGTATAACTACATAACTTGCACACAACTAGCAGTCCTCACACCCTCCCCAATCCAAAAAATGTGTAAATGGAGAGGTCAGCGCCAGTAGTGCAATGGTCCAATGTATTCATTTAAACCATTGAACTACTACTGCTTTCATCATCAAGGTAAATTTAATAAATAGACAGTCAATATTTAAAAACTACTACAGTCTTTCCTTTCCGATTGGCTATCACTGAAGATCACAACACAACACTGCCCCAGCCACCACTGTGATTCTTCATTCAGGAAACAAGTTTCCTAGCCCCAGCACTTCGTGTAACACGACATTTTCATACATAATGGCACTTATACCAGTTTTGTTATTATCATGGATTAGCTTCAATTTTTCCCCAATCACGGCTGGCGTTATCGGTATAACCGGAATAACGCCGCCGGGGGGCGGATCCTAGAATCTTCTACACTCTCTGACCCGTTTTCGGATTGGGCGGGGCTCCACTCTGCCGGCACTCAGCATAACAAGCCAGAAGTGCTCATCCATTGTTGAGACGAGACCTGGTGGCATGTTTTCTAAAAACTTCAATCCTGACTCAGAAGCAGCAAGCATCCTTGCAGAATTGACCATCAGGGAGGACTCCCAAGATGAAGCATATGTCAGTCTAAGAGCTGACAATGCAGCTGTTGAGCTCACCACTGGGTACAGTGTCTTGTGGCGTAGTAGGTCTGTAAAGGTGACTCCTTGAGGTTCACGGTTGAGGTAAAATTCAAGTGTACCTCGAAACATGTCCACCATCACACCAATGATGGTGCCCTTGCAGAATCCAGGGCAATCATCAACAACTTCTTTGTTTTGGCATATGGCTCCGGTGTATGATAAGCCATAAGAGTCGTGGCTATTACCAATACAGGAGGTGTAGTCCCGTACAGTTTCTGGAATGTTTCGGGTGCCAACACCAACCATTACATCTGTGCCGTAAGGATGGGTCATCATCTTCACCTCCCAGTAATAATTGTAGTTCCGTTTTAAAACTAAATTTCCCCTGACAGTAGCAGATCCAGAACTGAAAAGGGGATGGAACACGACGAGTTTTCCGTCCTCGAATAAGTCAGCCCACCTGGGGGATTTCCGCGGCAACTTCCAGCGCCAGTCAACAATTTCACGCTCTTCACCACACCCACAGTCAGGATCGCCCGGTTCGTCCTCGTCCTCACTTTCCCAACACTCACAATATCGTTCGGGCAGGGTCTCGTTAATGTAAGGGGTTTTTTCCTTAGCTTCACCTTCTGCCATTATGAAGAATTAATTAATATCTCAACAGTACACCGCACTCGACCGGATAAAGAAGTGAACTGAGCTGGCCCCCGGGCAACCGGCGCGCACTAAAGGGCAGGGGGGGTTGGGCGGCGGGCTGATGCAGGAGGGAAGAGAGGTGCGCGGAGTAATGAAGACGCCCGGTGCATGAAAGGGTGCAGGGGGTGCAGAGTACTCTTGTGAAAATCGATAATTTCCAGCGACTATAAACCAGTTTGGGGTTCACATTCTGTTTCGTGATGTGAATAAATGTAGGTATATATGTAATGCATTTTAACTTTGTAGTAGTGGTAGTGGTCAAAAGTAAAGTTATTGTCTATTGACGAACTGGAGTCACTGGTTTGAATATTTTATTACAATTTCATTTTGAAGGATGATTTAATCTTAATGACTTTATGAAATATTTTAATATAATAAAACGACTACTACTGCCTATCCGTTTCGATTTTCGATTTCGATAATTTCCGTTTCAGTCAGTCGGTACCTGTCACTGTCAAAGTCATAACTTTCAAATGTCGAATGTCACAGTCATTTTGACATTTGACAAGTTCTAGTGTTGCCAATTAGGTATGTAACTAGAAAATGTTCAAAAAGTATGATTCATTTATAAATAATAAACTCAAAACATAATTATGAATGGAACGTGCCATAAGCACCCAAACCCAACGAAACCCAACAGAGTGCCTAAATTTGTTTACTTAATGAAATTTATATCGTTTCTTTCTTTACTTTTAGTTAATTTTTTAATGTAGATAATTATGTAATATTATACACAATTATTATAATTAATTTTATTATTTGTAAATAAAACCAAAGACGATGTAAATAAATACCTGTATTTGTTGCAAAATAAATTTAAATTATAACTTAAAAAAGGTGCATTTCTAAGGTTTAGCATAATATGATGATGTAAACAAAATGCCAATTTAACATTATTATGTAATAAGCGCGAATTGTATAATTAAGCTTACTACAACTGACAGATTACCTTGAAGATCATTTTGGAATAAATACCTAGCTTCACTGACGGACTGACGGACAGACTAATATTTATTTTTTCTATTGTTTAATTGAAATAAATTCTTTGACTTTGACTATGACTTTGAGTAGTTATTATTTTTTTACAAAAAACGATACGTTAAAGACAGTCGATTGCAGACAGCAGATACCTTAGAGTATTTCAAAAAGGTAGAATTTGCCAGTGTTGGCATACTTTTGAATCATGTATATTCTTTTCATGAATAAATAATTTTAAACAGCTTCAAATAAATAAAAGTTGATCACGACTTAAAGTATTTTTTTGGCAATTTAGTTGGCGTCAAAAAAAATTAATACAACACCTATATTTTTAAGGTATGCTATGAGTACAATTTTTAACAAACTTATATCAAACACCAAAGTTGAATAATGTTTTTATACACACTAAATAATTTATACACACTAAGTAATGTGGTATAACATGGGTATAACACCGAAGATTTCTCTATAACTTAATTTTTAAATACCGCCACCTAGTTTCGTAATAGAGCAAATATAATTTTATCGTGGCAACATTTGGCGCTAGTTTTCATAGGATCTGGGATCCGCATTGGAAGTTTGTAGTTCTCGCGGCCGCCATTTTGGCGTCACTATCGCACTGTAGGAGGAAAACGAATTGATTGAAACGCCCTCATTGAGAAAATATAGAAGCTCAACCAAGATACAGGTAAATTTCAACATTTTGCTGTTACTGTTGTAAACTTTTGCGTATCAAATTCGATATTGAATAAATTTCAGAAAACTTATGAATTGGATTGGTGCTCGTGACGATATTAAAATGTAAAAAGGTGTAATTTCCCTGTAAAGCCGTGTCTTGAGTATTGACTGACGCTAGCGCCGTCTATCTTTTCGTTTCCAATCTGTCTGTGGCGGTAAATTGCTCCTAATTGTATATTTTGTTATGTTTTTTAGTTAGATAACAAGTAAATGTTACGGAATGGAAATTAATATCGAAAACGTCTAACACGTTGATAAAATGGCGGACTGATAGTGCGAGATTCACTAGTCTCCGATGTATGTAGGTTTCTGTTCCAACGGAGAAAGCAGTCATCGTTTTATTAAAGTTTTATCGAATCCTCTATCAGGCTTAGGACTTGGGGCCTGATATATGGGAAGCCAAAAGATACATTATAATTATCTGGATGTAATGAATGACATTTTAAAACAACAAAGCAGTTATGACACCATTGAATGTTCATCAATGTGACCAATATTAACATGTACCCGAAAGTCTAAAGACATTTTAATTCCATTAATAAAGTCAAACGAAAATAGGTAAATTATATCTGCCTACAAACTAATTGGGATGTACCCAAGCAGAGTACAATTTTATGATAAACAAATCAATTATAGATTTTGTTATGTACCTACTGGGTTCATTTCGAATTTTTGCATAAATTACGTACCTTACATATTATATATATAACAAGTATAATGGTGATATTTAAAATAATACATTTACATACAGTTCAACAATCACCTATCCGTACGATACATATATACCAAATCAAAACAAACCCATGCATTGACGGGGTGCTCCTCTTGAAGGGGAAAATTTAATCTCATGCCATCTAGTGGCGAATAGTGATGACATTCCCTATAATATTACAATGACATGTTACAATGATACTCATGATGTTAAATATTTGAATCTAGTCATGATTATTATAGTTGTAATTTACAAGTCTAATCCCCTATTATGAACACAAAAAGGGTAATCAATAAATCAAATATACATACCAAAATATATTTTTGATTTATATGTTACAATTATTACAAAATAATTTCTTGATTAAAATATACCTTTATTATATTTTGTCATTTTTCATATAAATAAACCATCAACAAAAAATCCTAACAACTGAAAAAATTGTAACTTGTTGGTAAATTCAAGTGAATGAATAAATGAAGTTATTTAAATTTTAATTTATGTTGGCTAGAGCTCATCCCTTTGCATGCTATCTTGGGTGAAGCTACAACATTGCAAATAATTTGCCGTTGATCTGACCTTGAACAACCCTTCGTCAGCCCTTGTTGTCCTTGTTTCTCCCTAAATGTTCCAACCAATCACAAGGTGAGATTCAAATGAAAGTACTGAACTTTCAATGCAAGTATATCAAATCAACCCTTTTCTGCTTTTTGAGATGAAATAATAGGGACCCGGCTATCTCCCCTCGTCCGCTATATTGTTCTACTTATGAATACTGCCCAGTCTCCCAGTGGGCGCGATACTGACCGCCTGCGTACATGGCCGACGGTGCGCGCGGTAAGTTTCATATATCATTTTAAAATTATTCAATGTATTACTTATTACTACGTGACGAATTAGTTCCAGTCTCTTTTATCTTTTCACAACTTGATACAAATCAATCTCTTTAACATTCTGTTCATCAATGTGAAAGACAATTGTCAAGTTTATTTTTGATACAGAATCAATACTTATAACAAACTAAGTATACAGTGGTTCACAATACTTGTTGATTTGCTATTTTGAAGAGATTGATAATAATGTTGTAGCATGTTTAATCAAGAAGGTGTCAACATTATATCATTGCATATATATTTTTAGTGTTTTTATTGTGAATTTAGTATGATTTCTAGTTGTTTTTAGTTAACTATAGAATTGTTAGGTATCATTGTTGACCTGTATGACAAATGTTACTCTCTGAGTTTATGCGAATAACTAAGGCTGCTGATGTTCCCAATATTACTGTAAGATATTAAGCAAAATAATGATGAGTTCGACAATGTGTGTTTCGGGCAAAAGAAGTTCATTATTTTTTTCGAACTGTATAGAAAACAATATGGTAATAGTAATTATAAAATCATATTTGTACATAACATCACTCCTTTTATTCCCGAAGAGGGCTGAGGTGCACATAAAGTACTACACTGTATCTACTGTAACACCCATTTTTCACTATTTATGTTATGAGTACCATGTAATAGGGGTGAGCTTATTGCCATATACCGACTCCACAATTCCAGACTCTGTGCTACTACTGAGATTTTTTTTAATAACCCCAGCAGTACTTTGCCCGACCCGGAAATCGAAGCCGAGACCCCTTGCCCGGCCGTCGCACTTGCGACCACTCGCCCAACGGGGCAGTCAATTGATTGATTATTGATTTGTCTGACCATTTTATCACTGTTTGTTGTACACCACTACAAACCACCACTACACCGTATCTCAAGTTGATCTATTATTATCTGTTGACAATCTGTTAAAACTAAGTTCTTGCTAGCGTCAGTCCATAGCGTTCCGTATAGCGTTTGACGTAGTTAGATACTTAATTTTGTAAACTACTAATACTATTGTATCCTCTAACTAGCTTACTAACACATGTAGAAAAATGTTCTCCAATTACATTTGATTTGTCCTTGTTTTAGTCCGGCCTGAAGGCCAGATAGAAAATCCAAATAAGATTGGATACGTGCATCTATTTCCATCCTCTGCTCTTAGAGGTAAGAGTGCTACTATACAGGTGCAAAAGGCGAGCCAGGAAAGCCTGGCATGCCCAGGCAGTGTGGCAGGCCAGGTGACACTAAACTACCGAAAGACTAAGTCGTATTTCTTTGGCCCAAAAGGAAAGATTATCACAGAGCCAGACCCGTGGTGCTTTAGACGTCCTAGAACTAAGCCAAATATACAAATTCATGAAAACATCGTAATAGCACCAGCCCGGGTGGTGGATCAGGAGGCACCGTCCAGTCAGGAGAGACTGGCTAGCCAGAATACCACAAATGAAGGTAATTTCAGGCAAGAAAACTATGAATATTTGATACAGGAGGGCCGCCAGGCAAAGCAATATTTGACGAACCAGGTTAATATAGAACAAAACAATCAGGTTCACCTTGTTAACCAAGATCCTGGGGAACAAGATATTATTGACCTTACCCAGGAGTTTACTGAACGGCGCGATTCCTCGAGTGAAGATAATGTTAACCAGTATCACTGGAAGAGCCTGATACAAAAGCAACTGGTTCGCCAAGATTCTGCGGGCCACCACAATATCACACAAGACAACCAAGACAATTCTTTACAAAAATATTTGTTTCGTCACGATTCTAGGAGCCAGAAGAACGTCAGGCGATGTAACCAAGAGACTCCGATTCCAAAGCAACTGGTTCCCAAAGCCCCGTCGCAACAAAATCACGAAGAGCAAGGTATAAACAAAAAAGTTGGTTATAGTTTTCCGAATAAATGTAAACTTAGGCAAGATATCCAAGAAAACTTGTCAGAAAACTTTACAAAAGACATCGATCAAGAGGATCTGATTAAGAAGCACTTAATTCGCTACGATTCTGCAAATAAATCTAAGGTAGAACAAGATGCCTCACTAGACCAGTACCAGGTACAGCACGATTCTACAAAGAAGCAAACTAGTGGACATGCGGACTCTGACCTAGTTCATCACAATTCTGCACAAAGAAATAACTATAGAAAAGAGAGCATATCAAGCAAGTCCCCGGTGCAGCACGATTTTATAAAGACAAGTACTGTTGGTCATGAGGATCCGTTAGACGAGTACTTGATTCGTCACAAACCTTCGGCCAAAAATAACATTACCCGGGAAAACGTATCAAAAAAGCACTTGGTGGATCACGACTCCGGTGAAAACATCGACCAAAAGAACTTATCGAACAAGTACGTGGGACTGCACGAATTCGCGAAACACAATAACTTAGGTCATAAGGATTTAATTGATAATTATCTATGTCATCACAAATCTGCTAAAAAATGCAACGACGAACAAGAGGAAACATTTGACAAGTTTTTAGTTCATCACGATTCTGGGGTAAACGAGTTACTGATATCACATAACTGTTCAAGGAAAGACGACAACATCGATCAAGGGCATGTTTTAGACAAGTACGTTGTTCGCCAAGATTCCGGTAAAAAAAATTACTCCGGAGAAAAGACCATCATAAACAAGTCTGTGGCACAACACGATTCTATTGTGAAAGAAAGCATTAAACAAGAAGACGAATTAGAATTGTATTTGGCACAACACGATTCTGCAAAGGAAATTGATGATGGTCAGGAGGACTTGTTAGACAAGTATTTAATTCTGCACAACTCCCTGAAATACAGTAACTCTGGACAAGACAAAAATACAAAGCCGAGTACAGTGGTACGAGAAGTAGACCACGATTGTGCAAAGCCATATACCATCGATCAAGAGGACCCCGTCGACAAGTACTTGATCCGCCACGATTCTGTAAACGAACATACTCACCTCAATTCAGTAACTACACCTAACTTAAATTCTGATGAACATAACGTCGAACAAGAAAACCTGATTGACAAATACCTGGTTCGCCAAAATAAACCTAGTGTTGGACAAAACAACGAAAATACTTTAGTTGACAAGTACCTGGCTTGCCACGATTCTGTCAATAATAATAAAGAACAAGAGAGCGTATATAATCAATACCTGGTTCGTCCCGAACCTCCAAAGAAAAGTAACATCACACAAGACAAGCAAGAAAGCGTAAGTATTTGTTACCAGCACACAACTCCTAGCCAACATCAAAACACCAAAATTCAATTGTGATTTACTAACACTAAGTTTTACTAACAACATAAAATACAAAATTTTGTTATATAAATTTCTTAAATATGTTGTCAATAAATAATAACTATAAGACAAACTAGCTGGATTGTACTTAGATGTCAAATCATTTGACTTGTTTTATTTACCTACACCTACTTTGGCCAACCATTTCTAGTAATATAAACCACTCAAAACTCGGCTTATTCCTCTGATGTCACATGTCTATATAGGTACAGAATATCTGAAGCAGCGTAGGTCGTTCGTACGTTTTGGTAACACTACGACTTAAGTACACGAATGCATTTCAGGATTGCATGGTTCATCAAGATTCAGCTGATCCCAATAACGTTGAGCAAAGTAACCAAGGGAGCTTGGCGGGAAACGATTCCACAATGCCTCCTCCCGACAAAAAGGATAAGAAGCAAGCTGTGCTTCAAACTTACTTGAATCCAACAACTGCTGCTACAGTCATCGCAGGTTAGTTTGCAAAATTATATTCAACATAGGTTCTAAGCTCATTTTTTAACCAATTAACAAAAGCCTCCTCGGAGTAGCTCTTACTAAAAATCCTTTCGTGCTCCTTTCTATTCTGGTATCTTTTTAGGTATATCGAGGTACCTATATAGGAGACCAATCCACGATCCTGAAAAAGCAATCACCCTAGTATGCCCGTCTATGGGGGTCTAAGATCTATAATAATTAGGATTATTATAGACATACAGGATTGCCTTCCGGAGTATTATAGCATATAATGAATTTCTTTACAGAAAATCTACAGAAAGTAAGAGCAATATATTTTTCATTTTACAGTGAATGCCACAGATGATAAAGGTTTGCCTTCCGGGATGGTAGAATATTTTGTGGACGAAGATGGCAAATACTACTACCAGTCGACAGTTGATGGGCAAGCTTTGGTTATGAACACACCGGCTGTCAACCAGGATGAGGTATTGAAAAATATTATATTACTTGTAATTTTGGTTTGTTCTCAGAATTGGAATTTATGGAGCAAATTGCATTTATTATTTTCAACAGTACATTTATATTATAGGAAAGGAAATAATTCAGATGGTCCCCAAGTACCAACTGTAATGATTATGGATGTTATTCTTTTTATTGTCGTCTTTATTTGAATCACCATGTAACTAACTATTGAAGCTTCTGATTTGTTTTAAGTTCCAACCGTTTATTTACATGCATAGATTTTAAATAAAACACGGTGGCGCGGATTAAGCCGCCATCTTGCAAATGAGGGTGGATGCTTTTATTAGGTTTTGTAGCGCCCTAAGTGGGGTGCTATCACGATCCTATTGATACCAGTCAGCCCCTGTTTTAAATATTTTAGGGTTCCATGGGATACGATAGGGAAAATTAACCCTTTTAGAAATAACTTGTAGTCCTTCTGTCTGTCTACTACTCAGATAAATTATACATTACATTGTTATGTATAATCTCATGAAACTTTGAAACCGAACCATACTCTACATGATGTTTATGTCTCAATAAGGCATCTTTAGCCTGAGAAAAATACCGTTTTTGGTCTTTAGATGGCTCTAAGGTGGCGCGAGGTCACTTTGACCCATTACTGCTGCTGTCAAAAATATGTTTGGACTGAAAACAGAATTCTGTCAGAACTCCGCATTTTAAAAACTTAACAAGACGTATTATTCGCTATCTGCGAAGTCGGTGGGTGGTCGGGAGACAATTCAATCGATCGCTGCGCGCAGTAGGGCAGGCATGTGAAAAAGCTCGCGGTCAACACGTGGCAAATTGATTTTATTCTGATAACTTTTATGACGACTTGTGTGTGGATTGAAGTCTTCAATACTAGTAATAATGATGGAATCTTCAAAATTGGGTCACAATTTTTATCTCTTTGACATTAGATTAAGTGTTTCGTCGATCACAAAACAAGCAAATGTCAAATTTAAAAATAGTTATTCTCTGAATCGTTACTGTAATTTAATTATTTGCAAATATTTATTTTGAAATTACGGATACAAAATAAAACACGTACACTATACGCATGTTGCAGGCTGACTTAAAAAATACACCGATAAATAATTCTTCATCAAATTTCGATAGTGACACGTCACTATTTAAAATTAGCAAAAACTGGTAACACTGATATTAATATTCTAACCATCAGTTTTATGGCTTACCAGTAGGTGTCAGGACGGCACGGCGCGCTGTGCTGTAGCGTCATATTTGGCCAATCACTAACTGATAAAAAATTATACCTATTAGCACGTTAGGTAATAGTTTATTATACAAGAGACCTTTCGCTACACTAGCGATCTCGACGATAAACTCACTAAAAAGGGGCAGCCACTTATTCACTAATATTTGTAAAACTAATTAAAACTTCATCAGACTGCTGAAACATCAGATGCAATAATGGCTGACCCTGGAGACACTTTCCAGACTGTCACCTTCGTACCCTCGGAAAACAACGGAGAGGTCAGCTATGTGCTGGTCGTGCAGGAGGAGAAGGCTGTTGTCAACATAGATCTCAAGGTACCAAACCAGGTAGGATGCACAATTATACTAACAATCTCATATTATGCTCTATTAGTAGCACGAGACTTATTAAAGGCAATATAAATATACCAGCCTGTAACTATTTCACAGAGCGAAAAGCTCTTCTCACACAGAAAAGCAATGGGCATCATTCCCCTGTTTCATCGTCATCATAAGCAGTCTATAAGGAGCCACTGCTGACCAAAGGCCTCTTCTCGCACGAAGAAGGTTTGAGCATTAATCACCACGCTTGCTCGCATTGAGAAAGCGTGGTAATTTATGTGTGTAGTGGATTGGCTATTTCAAACTTATGATATGTAGTTATACGCCCAGGTTTCCTCAAGATATTTTACCGTTTGTCAATGGTGATTGATACTTGTCGTTGGTAGCTTTCGACCCCGTAGTCTCATGCATGAGAAGCGGGCGTCTTAAACATCGGGTTATACACCTCACCCTTTTTACTAAAGACAAATTCGACAAATTTCAATAAGCCAATAAATTATGAAAATTTAACTGTATTAATACGTTTCTCATCATAGTCATCATAATACTGATATTTTCAGGAAGTACAAGTAACATTGCAAACGTTACATTATTGTTCTCCCTAGGTTTTGAAACTGAGATAGTTTGTATTTTTCCTTTTTTACTGGAACAGCCAGATTTTCCGAGTTATCACTCAAATCACAGTTTTCACGCTTATTACTCGTAAATCGAGGAAACATAATTAAGGACTATATGAAAAGTAATAGGATTAAAAATCTATTCCAATTACCAAATGCCATTATTCAAATGGTGAATTAGTCTCACGTTACAATATTATGGCATTATTATTTAATGACATGTAAGTACTAATTGCAATTAATTTACACTGTATGTGCTTATTGATTAATACTAACAAGATATAACCATTAAGATATCCATAATTAGTAATTAATATAACTCTTAACACATTAGCAGGTAACGGTAATTAACATATAGTTTTCAAATGGTGAATACTAAATAATCAAGTATAGATAGAACTAATTAAGGACTAACAATTACATGGCACTAATTTGTATATAGCAATAATAATATAACATCACTGCTTTATTCACTAAAGGTAAAGGCGACGATGCACATATTAAATGGTAACACACATTTTTGGCAAATCTATTGCCATTCCTGTACAACAGGCGCATTTTAAAACTCCCATGTCGCTACTGAGAATTTTGTAAATGGGATAGTCCGGCAGTAGACTGCCATAGGCGGCAGATAAAATGTTATACATGTAACAGAGCTGCGTGCTTTCATAAATAGACCTGAATCTTTTAACTTTTGACCTGATTATAGCAACTGTTATGGGACGACGTCATCCATCGTAGTCCGCATCATCACTTACCACCAGATAGAGGTCAATTGTAGGACCATCAAATATATATGAAAAAAATAAATTGTTATGGAGAAGACCCCTTTAGTTGCTGTTGATATTCATCCAATAAAAAGATTTTAATAAAATTGTATTATCACTTAGACGGAGGAAGAGAAAGGCAACGACGATGTTTACAACTTCGAGGAGGAGGAAGCAGGAGAAGAGGCCTCGGAAGGAGAAGATGAGGAGATGGCAGAGGGTACCAATATTACCCCCAAGCACACACAGAAACGGACCAAAACCCTTAGACCGCACTTCACTTGCAACTTCTGCTCTTATACTAGTCACCGACGGTAATTATTTTGTTTATGTAGATAGATATAGGATCGTAAAATTATTAACATACTATTTATTGTTAAAGTTAAAATAGTTGGGCTATAATTTTCAACGATTACCTAATATAGTTTTTAAAATCCAGTGCAGTAAACATTTGCCTTACTGTATGATGGGTTATGAGAGTACGATACCAATAATTTTTACATAAAATACTATATTTTCATTTACTAAACGTTATGGTATGTAAATATTGTATAAATAATGTAAACATTTTCATTTTCGTGTTTTTTCACCAGTTACCTTTTACTCCGCCACATGAAATCTCACTCTGAGGACCGTCCTCACAAGTGCAGTGTGTGCGAACGTGGCTTCAAGACGATCGCCTCTCTGCAGAACCATGTCAACATGCACAATGGCATCAAGCCCCATGTCTGCAAGTACTGTAACAGCCCCTTCACTACCTCTGGTAAGTTGAAACATATAACTTATACAATCTTTCACCAACATGTAATTTGAAGTTTTAAGTACTGATACGACAGCATTAATTAGTGACCAGTAAACTAGTAAAGTATAGACTGACTGTATTGATCCTGGTTCTCTGTAAGCCCCTCTAAAAATGAAGAGCAAGCAAATATGATCATATTTCGATAACACCTAAGACAATAGTAATTCTGTGGTGTCGAGTACCGTCATTATAGACACAATTATAGAATAATAGGTTGGTCACCGGTGACCGCTTGGTGTTTGACAGTTTAATATAAGATGTTTATCCGGCAGGTGAGCTGGTGAGACACGTACGCTACAAGCACACGCACGAGAAACCGCACAAGTGCTCGGAGTGTGACTACGCGTCCGTTGAGCTGTCGAAGCTACGTCGCCACGTCCGCTGTCACACTGGCGAGAGGCCGTACCAGGTAAACTGATCATAATTCCTGCACTCACATCATTATTTTGATAGTCCCAGACAGTCCACAGACGGAATGGGTCTCTACAAAAAAGGTTTTGAATCACGAACTCATTTCTTTCAAAATAATTTGTTACAGTAAACAGATCCCACTAGTTAAAAATAAAAAATAAACTAAAATCCAAGGATTCTTCCAACTATCTGTTCATTTTAACCAACTTCGGTTAGGGCTTCCTTTCCAAACAGTTTGCATTGTTTTATCATTGGATTTCCATTCAATTAAGTGATTTTTATCGTTATTAAAATAAGTGAAGTGTCTTGCTTGATGATACCCTTTGGTACAAGGAGCTAACTGCACTAATCAACAGACTGATGCAGTTCTATTTTCACGTTAGGATGTATATGAATTAATTGAAATAAAATGCTTTCTCTTTACTGATTACAACTAAACAGGTTTGTGTTAAATTTCCAGTGCCCGCATTGCACCTACGCGTCTCCAGATACGTTCAAGCTGAAACGCCATCTTCGCACGCACACCGGGGAGAAACCATACAAGTGTGAGCACTGCAACATGTGCTTCACACAATCCAACTCACTGAAGGCTCACCGACTCATTCATAATGGTTTGTCTTTCTAATATGCGTATTTCGTCTATAATGTAGATTTAAAGATTAGTGTGAATTGAATATAATAAAGCCCCAAGTCCAAAGAAATAGAGTATTTAAAATGTATAAAATAAAAAGCTTACCAATCGCGAATTTACTCGCGGCATTCAAACTTTTACGCATTACACACATCTTTCCTCAGTTTTTTGGTATTCATATTGAACAGACTGACTGAAAATAAGCAAGGAATTTGTTTCATAAAACTTAAAGATTTTTGTATGAAAAATTACTAATATTAATTAATTCTATTTTTTATTATTTATTTATTCTATTTTTTATTATTATTGTTTTTTATTTATTTATTATTTTTTTTTATTTATTCTTTTTTATTTATTTATTTTATTCTTTATTATTATTTTTTTCTATTCTTTTATTTTTTTTTATTATTTATTTATTCCATTCACTCTAGTAGCTGAGAAGCCGATGTACTCGTGTGAACTGTGCCCTGCTAAATGTGGTCGTAAGACAGACCTTAGGATTCACATTCAGAAGCTGCACACTTCAGACAAGCCGCTCAAGTGTCGGCGCTGCGGGAAGACCTTCCCTGATCGATACTCCTGCAAAGTGCACAATAAGGTAAGTTTGCGTTTTAAAAGTATTTTATGACGATCTACTTCTGCTAGTCTTCAATTATCCCATGGGGACGTAATATCGGGATCTGAGAAATTAATAAATAACAATCTAAATAAAATAATCAATCCTTATTTACAGGTTTTGGATTGGTATCATTTATTAATTTCGACCGTCTGTGTAATTCCAGTACAGGCTAGTTGGTGTAACTATGTATGCTTATGTAACAGGTTTCCTTATCCTAATCATGTTTTATCTTTGTTAAACAGACCCATGAGGGTGAGAAGTGCTTCAAGTGTGACATTTGCCCGTACGCTTCCACCACACTGCGTCATTTGAAGTCTCACATGTTGAAGCATACTGATGAGAAGCCATTCTTATGTGACCTCTGCGATCAATCGTTCAGGTCAGTATTCAAGGTTTTGTCTAATAATGGTAACAATGAAATTATCTGAATATGTGTTGTTTCATTCCAAATGAATTAAGAGTAAAAGTGCTCATTACAAAATTAAACATGTTACAGGCAAAAGCAGCTGCTCCGTCGTCATCAGAACCTTTACCACAACCCTAACTATGTGGCGAAGCCTCCTAAAGAGAAGACGCACTCTTGCCACGAGTGCAAGCGTATGTTCGCACACAAGGGCAATTTGATACGCCACCTGGCTGTCCATGACCCAGACTCTGGTCACCACGAGCGCGCCCTCGCCCTCAAGATCGGCAGGCAACGGAAGGTCAAGTTTATTGAGGAAGAGCCAATGAGGGTGGGTTTATTTGTATGTTATGCTTTGCGACGAACAAAAACGCAAAAGAGGAAACTGTTCAACTTTTTGATATTTAATAGCTAGCTGGTCGAATAAGTGTCGCGGAGAACCTAACGGGTTACCGGGGCTCCGGCTCGACGTGCAGAAGAAGGAACGGGGTGGTTTTTAGTCAGTAAGAGTCGGACACTCCCTCCCGCCTCACCCAGGCGGGAGCAGTCATTCGATGATTATTCCCCCTTAAAAAAGTGAAATAAAAGTAATTTACTTTATGTCAATAGGGTTCGGTGATTTTCAGTTTTGATTTTAAGGTTTTGAGATAAAACTAAATTTCATATATTTATAATTATGGTTCCCGATTTCCATATTGTTCTTAGTTATTCCGTACTAAGTGATATCCGTAATAATCAAACATCTTTTTGCTTAGTTTAATCGCTGTTATGCTCTGAATTCGTGTACTAATTGAGATCGACTAGCTTGCGGACGAATATGCGATTTAATAAACTCAAATATTGCAAAAAATATGCACAAGGCGATTTGCTGATTTTAACATAATATAACATCATGCCTTTTATCCCCGAAGGCGAAGGCAAAGGTGCACATTACGGCACTTAATGCCACTGTACAATGTAACACCCACTTTTCACTATTTATGTTATGAGTCCCAAGTAATAGGGGGTGAGCCTATTGCCAATGCCATTGCTAATTTTAAATTTTATAAAAGCTAAGCCACAGCAATACTGATTTATTTAGCGATCTATTTTTGTGCCTCTTTACGTGCCACGAGTTCGACACCCGTATAAAACAAACGTAGCGTGCTGCAATATAATAATATCTCGTAAATGACTTTGCCTGCATGACTGCTCGGTTGGTGCAGTGGCTGGGCAACTGGCTGCCGAGAAACGCGTACCGGGTTCGATACCCGTACGAAGTGACTCTTTGTGTGATCCACAAATTGTTGTTTTGGGTTTTATGTGTATGTGAAATTGTATGTAACCACGCTCACGACACAAATATATAGTAAAAAAAAAACAAAAATATAGTAGTCCTCTTTGCTTTTAAGTACAAATGTCGAGACAAGTGCTAATCTGATGGATCGATTCTCACATTGTGTATGGCGCGTTACATAATTTCCTTTCTGATAGCCAGCGATATACGAATAATCGTTAGGTGAATATATAACTATTGGGAAAAAAATATTATGTTAGGAAAAAATGCTTAACAAGATTGCGTCACTTTTTGCATGCTACTTAATGTTTTATGTTAAAATGCATTTGCTCCTAATGTACTGTTTCTGTTGCGCTATCTTTGTTGCCGTTTATTTTTATTTTGCTAGTATACGCGACGGATATTTTCTTTTTAATTTGCATTTATTTAGTTTAAATTTTTACTTTGCTCTGCTATTTCTCAACCTCTGCAATCTGCATTTATGACTTGCGAGTTTGACTTTTATTTTTATTGTTTTTTTTATACAACTATTGAGTTAAAGTTTACTAAAAGCCTATGTAGCAGTTATATTTAATAACTAGCTTTTACCCGCGGCTTCGCTTGCGTCACAAAAGGATAAAAAGTAGCCTATGTGACATATACCAATACACACAGCGCCATCTATACTAATACTTTTGTTTCCCTAGGGAATATCAATTTTTTCCGGGATAAAAAGTACCCTATTATTTAATCCGGACTTCTAACTTTACTTCTGCAAAAAATCAAAGCAATCGGTTAAGTAATTACGGTGGGAAAGCGGAACAAACAAACAAACAATAAAACTCACTTTCCGATTTATATAGTATAATTTAATAATCATACAATATTGTATAGCATGGGCGATTGTGCGATGCTACATTTAAACAAGTCTTTAATATGTGCTATACATTCATTCAAAATGACGAACAAAACAATAAATGCGAATAATGGAAAGCAGAAGTGCTTTTATTACAAATATTTATGAATTTAATTTAACATGTTACAAGTATATATTTTATTTTCAATAATATGCCATGCTAATGTTTATCAATATTACTGTGTGCTTTCATAATATTATAATATGCTTACCTAGCAAACAATACATTTTAAAGCGACATATATTTTTACAATAAAACAAAACAAATTACACCTAAACACAATCTAACGTATCAAGTTAATGTTTCCAGGACATTCGCGTGGTTGATTCCTCGGACGCGGCGGAGATGATGAAGCTGGGCTTGAGTAACAATGAGTTGAAGCGAGGCGAGCTGGTGACGGTGTCTGATGGAGACGGCCAACAGTACGTGGTCCTTGAAGTCATACAGTTGGAGGACGGCACGGAGCAACAAGTCGCTGTCGTTGCTCCAGACTATATCGATGAAGATGAACAAGGTTTGTACAACATAGCAAAGCAATAATGAAAGTTTTAGTATTCTATTCAGTCAGTTATAGATCCATGACTCTCGCAGAAAATCAGCACTGTGTGAGTAAGTTAGTAAGTAAGGCCTCCACTAGTAGGCCTGATTCCTCCTAAAAGTCGGGCAATGCACTTGTAGCTCCACTAGCGTTGCAGGAATTCGTGGGCGATGTTGATTGTTTACCATAAGATGATCTGTAGGCCGTTTCTTTCTGGCGATCATATAATAAAAGTTTTTTAACCCATAAATCCCCAAGCGGTCACCGGTGACTGCTTTCCACTAATATTACATTGCATTATAGACCTTATTTTTAATGTTTAGAGACTACTTTTGTATGACAAAATTTAGGGGATGGATTTCAACGGGTTAAATTGTAACGGAGTATTATACCAAACAAGAAACTACTTTGTTACTCAATTTGTGGCCGATCTCCAAAAGTCCTGTTAGCCAAAGTTATCAAGTCGCTTGAATTTCGCTTCCAGAGCGGCACCTATCGACCATTAAACATATTTTTGTCTCAATGAATTCAAGAAGAAAATATTTTAACAACACTATAGGAGTACCATTATGTATTTATTCATTGCACACATAGTACATTTTTTATTACAGACATAGTCTAATGCAACAAAGTAATTTTACATAAAAAATTTCCATGACAAATAAAAAAGAAGTATACTATATCTTGCTATGTCTTAGTTACCTACATCTTACAAACTATGTAGCGCGTAATCTTCGTGACTAATTATGATTCTTTCTATTACCACTGGGTCAATATGTTATAAACAACAATTCAGTGTTCAGTTTCGACTCAGAAATGTAATTTGTTACCAACATTTTTCAGTAGAAGAGGAAGAAGAAGAGGAGGAGGAGGAAGAATCAACACAGAGGACTTTTACCGTCAAGGACCCTGTGGCTGAACGGAGCATCAAACTCGAAAAAGATGTAGATACCTGTTTTGGATTTGATGTAAGTACTCTTCAAACTGTTTCTTAACTAAAAAAAGTTTATATCAACAGAATATTCATCTCTATAAATCCTAATGTGAGTAAAGGGATTTATATTTATAATCTTAATTAACTTCTTAATCTATGATTATGGAAAATTCAAAAGTAGTCTCTAAATATCGGAAATAAAGTCTATAATGAAGTAGGAGGAGAGTGGTTACCGGTGACCGCTTGGGGACTGGGCAGTTAAGGTAATATCAGGTTAGTAAGATCCAGCTTTGGGTTTAGTTCATTCAGATTTTCCAGGTTGTAGCTGTGAACAAATTGTATTATTGTGAATTTTGTATTTTGAAGACTAAGAACATTGTATGCTTTGGTTACATTGCAAAAGCCTTGATTTTTATTGCTTATGGTCGTTATGAATGATATTAAGAACATTTAAATTATGTTTTACACAAAACAAATATCTATATATGTGATGAAACAAAATTTCATTAGTACAGACTACTGAATATGGTGTTAGAGGTATACCGGTTAGAATATAAAAAAATGAACTACTTGCTTACTAATAAACAAATTGACAAATTGAATTGAACACACAATATTATTAGGATTACACACATGACGATCGTGTTATTTACCTGGACATGGTGGTGTTTTTTAAAGGGTATATGACTACAAAAGTCACTGATGTGGCAACAGGACAGGATGATTGAATGAAAAAACTTTTTATTGAATGGTTTTTTTGCAAATAAGCTACAAAATATCACTGTTACACGCCAATTTGAAAAAAATACTAGATAAGAATACTCTGAGAAGAAATGCCGAAACAACCTCAGACATCTCTTTTCAAGTCCAGACAAACATAAAAAAAGTATGTGGGAGATATAAGTTCGTTCTGTTTTTGATCGAAATTCCTTAAATATTAATTTTTCAAATAATTACATTTTGTCTACACTACACTATTTAATATATTGCTATAATATCATCGCGATTTCGCACAGCTACTAGTCCCACGTTGGGGGTAGTATTTTACGGACGGTTATTTAAATACAAGCGTGTTTTTCGGTTAAATGCTGAATGCGAAATATGAACGTTTTATCAAATAAGTCCCGTGAAAACGTGGCGTATTGAGAATTTCCAAAATCTTAAATAACTATTAATCGCCTCTCTAAGTTTAAGTGACTGTACTTGTTACAGTCCATTTGTGCGTTTGAAACTTACAAGAACTGAATTACTACACGCGTATTTTTGGTTAAATGCTGAATGCGAAACAAAAACGTTTTATCAAATAATATGGCATAGAATATAAGACCAACTTTGGTCCAGTTATAAGTCCTGTGAAGACATGCCAATATTGAGAATTTCCAAAATCTTAAATAATTTTTAATCACCTCTCTAACTCTAGCTGACTGTACTTGTTACAGTCAATACTGAATTACTTCTTTCTGGGCTTCAATAATATGTCCCTGGGTTGCATTGGGCTTCATTGTCTCGGTGCTTTTCTGGTTGCTTTCTATTAACGGTAACTATGATGGGTGGGAACAAGTAGAAGGCTGCTCCAGGACATATGCAAAAGAATGTACTAAGCTTAGGTAATTGACCTATGACAAATTTTTCTTTTAAAATTTTACAGGTGTAGTAGTTTAAGCTGGCATCCCTTTCTTCACCTATCTGTCATGTTTATTTTATGTGTATTCTTTATTTAAAGTACTGTCCTATCTCTTTGGAATGAATTTTCTATGCATATGTCCTTGCTTTGTTTGTATTTTGATTTTTTTTATTTTTATTTCCATTTACCTATTTCCAGGAGGAGGATGAGGACGCGGAAGATGAAGATTATACTGATAAAGTAGTTTTGCGTTTAGTTTAGTGTTGTATCAATGTGGTACAGGTTACTGGCATGGCTGACGACGTCTATGGGACTAAAGTCCAAAAAATATTTATTATTCTACAGTTTTATGTTCTCGTAAATAGGAGGCGTAGTATAAATGTAGTGTTAATTTATTTCTTAAGACTTGTATTATGATATTTATTTGTCCAAGTTACTTGTGGATGACACTAGCTTTGCTCGGGTCCTGCGCGTGCAATACGTTGCCGAGTTTTACAAGGCGCTGTTTTATAACAATAAATGTAGCTCGTAATGTAAAGAAAATATTTTAATATAACACATCCAAGTAGGACATTTTTGTTATAAAAAGAGTTCGTATATAAATCATTTGTTCAAAAAGTGTATGTTCGAGTTTTTTTAAATATTGATGCAATATTTTCCTTGGTTTCTAGTTTTATGCTAGTAAACCAGACCCACTGTTGGTATTCATTGATAGCATCTTCCATCACCAATACATTCCTATAATGCATTATCTACTGGGATGTAACTCTGGCCGGGAATGCAGAATACAGACATCTTCGACAAACTCTTTAAGGTTCAAAGTCAATTCATTGATTGCACGACTCGCGCCATACAACATAGAACTCACTTTCACATTGTTTTACATGTGACAACGGAAAGTAAGCGAGGACTAGTTAGTGTTATACATACAGTAACGGCGATACAAGTAGGATGCAGTCAGTCCAATGTATTAGCTTAACGTGGAAGGTAACGTGTGTCTCTTGAATGTGTTTAATGTAAGTGCTTTTACGATGATTCTCTTGGTGTTCGCTTTGTGTGTGTTTATGCTTCGCGACACAGTGATCAAGGCTGTGCGAATGAATGATTTACATTTTTATTAAGTAGATGTTGTAGAAGTTAATTGGATCGTGTCTCGCCATCAAAGAGGCGAGCCACATAGTCTTAGCTTTATCTCGTATTTTTATTGATGTACTAGCCTCCTTCGTACCGTCTAGTGTCAGAGAGACCCCACGCGTCACTTGAGTTTTAGATTATTTCGTTCTTACTTGTTGGTCAGCCCAGATGCCATGCCGGTAAACTGTCTTATGCGTCGATTGTTCTAAATAAAATATAACAATCGATATTATGATAGATTTTGAGGTGTAACGAAAGTGCGTAACTATATTATGTCTGATTAATTTTATAATTTGTGCTCACTATGCGAAACTGAAGAATTGCGCGGTACTGTGCCCGTGTTCTGCTTTATGTGTGTCATTGTTAGTTTGGTTGCCGTACAACAATACAGGATGTTGTTGCTTTGCTGCCTGCCTCGTACTTACCCGCAATCCTACCATATAGTTACGCACTTTCGTAGCCTCGTATATGTACAGTTGGAAGTTATTTAAAAAAAAACGTGACCATACATTCCGTACGAATACGGAAGTAAAAATTTATAGTGAGACACGAGAAGCTAACGATATAAAAGAGATATAAATAAAATAAATATTTTTTGTACTGAAGTGTGTGGTTGGGCGTAGAGTTATATGTACGTTGACGAACCGCGGCTGCGATCTGATAGGTGTTGCACTGGAAGCGGCGACGGGGTCATTGGACGCAGTGAACGCTACTTACTATAGCATTGCGTGCGCGCCTTACTGCGCTTGCAACGCAGGCGCGCACTACGATGCAGGGAGGCGCTAGCTTCTCGTGTCTCTGCTATCGTTATGAACAGTGACTGGTTGAGCACGTTGCGGCGTCGCGTTGTCTGAGCTTCCTCACCTCAGTATTAGTGCTCGCAACTGTCCTCAGTGCGCTCAAACACTCATCTTGTGCTCATAATTATGGAAGAAACACTTTTAAGTAGTTTATTAATTGTGTCGGTAAAGTAATCTTGTGTTTAAAATATTTAATTAACTCTTTAGGAATTAAATTGTCACTAGTTTACACTTTTACTCGAAGGCCAAATAATGAATTCAAAGGCGTTTTCTTTATAATTTATGACCTAAATCAAAGAGTAAATTGCTCTGAAAATCTTTAATAATGTTATTAGTTTATACTTAATTATAGTTTTAGGTATTATAAGGTGACAAGATGGATACCGTGGAGTATGATGGTAGTTGTACCAGCACTTATGTTCCGTGGGTGCGGGCAGACAGTTCGCCCCACACTACCATCTACCGCCCTACTCCGTACCGACTTTGAACAACTTTGTATATTAATTTTGGCTTTAGACAAGTTTTTTTCCTTATTTTCACTTACCACATGTGTTGTAACATAATTTCTTTTAGTTCGATCACGCTTCCTAAAGCCCAAGAAGATCGTTGTATAGTTGTTCAATTTATTGTAAAAAAATATTTGGATAAATGGCAAATCGCAACTTATTTCTTGTTTTATTTTTCACTTGAACTTAATTCATCATCGACAATTAATTTGGACTGATCTATATTTTGAATGCATCGTTTGAAGCCTGCGCAATGTTATCATTCGTACCATTAGTCTGTATGCGGCAGTGTACCGGTACTTCAATTCTACCTAAAAAATAAATCTTACACAAACGTGAAACTTAAACAATTTTATTACCTTGGCTATCATCAAATTTGTTTCAAATAATTGAGAAAATAGTTCACTAACAGCTGGAATGACAGTCATATATTTTCTTGAAAGTACAAACATGTTAGCTGGTCTACCTGATGCAAAATGGAGGCACCCACAACTTCAGACATACACAACTCACAAAAACATTCATCCCCACACACTTGATAAGCTTGCACTTGCGAGAGACCCTAAACTCGTTACCATCCTCATGTCGGTTTTCTCAGCCTGAGAACAGCAGTACATCTCCTGCGGCTGGCAGAAAACTACATCAGGATGAACAACATAATTCTGTCGACAACCGATTGGCGAGAATGGTCTGACGAACCCATTTCCGGACTAAAGCAGTTGAGGTTCTATGCTAGTTTCTTGTTGTTTGCTAGTTTATTTCCATGTAACTAACACAATTAGGTCTTCTAGAGAAACGGACGAAATGCGAGACGGGGTGGTAAAGGTCGATTGTCTCCGGTTCCTCGGTCGAAGCTGGTCGACTCGCCAATATTGAAGGTGAGTACAGTAACTGAGGTACATCGTACGGGATAAAGGATACCAAGTAAATGATTACAGGTCTTATTTGAAACAAGTTATAAACACATACTTCCTCATACTTCATGTTGGAATATTGTTCTAATATCACATCTATAAGTGGCTACTGCTGACCAGGGGGCTCTTCTGGCACGGAAAGATTGAGCATTAATCCACCACGCTTGCTCAATGCGGGTTAACGATTTACAAACTTATTATTAGAAATTATAAGTTCAGGCTTCCTCACGATATTTTCCTTCATCGTTTGTCAGTGGTATCTAAATATCCTTGGGAAGTGAATACATCGGAGAGTCACATTGGTACTCGACTCCTCTGTTTTGAGTCATTAATTGTTTACATCACGATCATTTAGAAATATATAGGCACCATATCTCCGAAACCACAGACACTTGACCTTAGTCGTAATACTAAGTTTTATTCTGCATGCGAATACTTATCCATCGAAGGGAATCTTATTCCTATGGAGAGGTGGCCCCAATATCACCCATAGTTCTTTGATTGGGGGAAGGTATGGTACAAGGTACGTACCTTGACCATTGTCCACATCAGTAGCGTAAAGCTGATTGGTACGTTCGGGATTACCCCCATCTTCCCCTGTTCATATTGTGAGGAACACAAGTTTATTTGGAGACCTTGTGTTATATACTTATTTTAAATTTTCAGGTTGAACCTTCTAAGTGTAAAAAGACGTATATAGCACGAAAACGCGCACCGGCTCAAGCTTCGTAGACAGCCGTCCTGATACAGTACGTGGGGAGTTGGGGTGCTTGTAAATAGATTAATTAATTACATACTTGATTGTTTCACCATAAAAACATTAGTAGGAAGTTGCATTTACCTCCAGTTGAATGTTGTAGTAGGACGATCTCGTTGCAGTACCAGTTAATCTAATAATTATTATCCTGAAATACAACTACTCTCAGTCAGTTTTAAAATAACTATTAGAAACCTGAACCTGTAAGAACATATATTGTGGGAATCCTTAAATTCTATATACCAACATGCCATCATCATTGTGATCACCAGACTTCATCCATTAATTCATTAAGTTCCAAATTTTTTATATCATTTTAATGTAGATAGATGTAGTTAAACAAATATTATGTAGTATTTAAGATGTATTTTTCCCCATAAATGTTAATAGTTATAGATTAAATATCGCGAGATTAGAAAAAAAACAAGGACCCGTACTACATTTTATCAAAAACCAATGTTTAATCATTTTAAAAGGTGTTTACTTATCTAAATGATACTGTTATAATATTATTGTGTATTTATTTTATTAGAATATAGATAGGAATATTATGAATAAATGTTTTTTAATTTAGTAGAACGTAATAGAAAATAATTATATAGTTTTAGTTTAATTCCAACATGGATTGCATTGGTAAAATTTCAGTGTCTGCACCATAAAACTGTAATATTGTCTCACTGTTACAATCAAGTAATAAATGGATATTAAAATGTTTATTTTGATTTCTTTACACCTTGACAATTTCTAAGTATTAACATCTGCAAGTATTATTACACTTTCTAGGTAGTAGTCAACTAAATTACGTATGGACTTGTTTCACAATGGTTGGATTGCCGCTATGTACCAGATAAATTAAACTGTCTTCTCCAGTTTATCGGGTACTTAAATTGAGGTGGTGTAACATGCGCTAAGAGTAACAACATCTATTAACAGGAATAGGCAGAAGTGTTCATAATATGAATATAATATTCGTTTTTTGCTAGTTGTGTTATAAATCCCGTATTATAAAATTGTACGTGTCATCAGTATTCAAATGAATTACATAGTTATTTGCACTTATAATCTGTTAAAGACTGCACTGTTTCTGTGATGCAATAGGAGGTTCGATTCCTGAATGTGATTCCTGTATCTTTGACGAAGATGGTGATCATTTGAAATCCATCTTGCAAAAGCTATTATAGAGATGTTGGTGCCTTGGTAGTAGTACTGAAATCACGACTCCTGATTATATCAAATCTATTGAATGAGACATGATCTTACGTACAAAATCATTCGTCGTGTTCTTGCCTTGTTACCAGCCGTATTAGAACCTAATGGTCCTAATGGTGTGGTACCTGATGACGGCAAGATCGTATGTCGTTCGTTGCTGCCTTGGAAGATGGGTAGGCCTTTGGTGTGGGACGCGACCGCGACGTGTGAAGACAACCTTGCGCCATCACATCTAAGTACCTATCGGTGCTTGTGCTGGTGATTCTCAAACGGCATCATTATTCAAATCTAGTAGTCTACAAGATGTATAGGTATATAGATAGTAGCCTATTGTTTTAAAACGTTGGAGGTTGAAACACATGTGCCATGGCAGGGACGTAGCTAGCGTGAGAGTGTGTGTAAGTGTGACTGACAGATTGTCTGCAAAGAAATCGCCCGTGGGCTAATCGACTCTACGTGATTGTGACCAGAGGGCTGGCTGTTTCTTCGGACCGAAAATAAGCATTGCCATTTAACGTGGCGACGCTGCCAGTCTTCTGAGAATGTTCACCGGTCACCGTGATGTGAACGTCTGCTTTGATACCTAATGAAGGATATTTATTGTGGATTTTTTATTCACTAGTTTAGTTGTACATATTTATGTAGTCATATCTCTACAAAATACACTCTTAACTAAAGTTACGTTTATGTGTAAATAAGTATGTATGTTCCGATGCTTATTATTAGGTGCCTACTATCATACCTACTTAACTCTCGAATCGCGAACGATCTTCCCTGATTATGTATTACCTAAGTTTAGAAAAATAGGGAGATACTTTCAAAATTTTACGAAAGCTTTATACTACCCGGGAATCCAACCCGAACTTATTTGGCAGACGGTTGTGCTTTCGGGCACTCGACCCATGAAGCAGTCAATATTTAGTGCCCCGTTTGAGATTTGACTGACTCATTGGGTCAACATCATTCACCTCGAGTCACTCCCATCCATATATCTCTAAATATGTAAATATTTGAACCGTTTTTAAACCTCTTGTTTTTGATTTTTGCTTTTGATATAAATAACGTAATATAATATCATGCCTTTTATCCCCGAAGGGGTAGGCAGAGCTGCACATTATGCCACTGTACAATGTAACACCCACTTTTCACTATTTATGTTATGAGTCCCATGAAATAGGGGGTGAGCCTATTGCCATATACCGGGCGCAATTTCAGACTGCGTGCTACTACTGAGAATTTTTTCAAAAACCCAGTAAACTTTGCCCGACCCGGGAATCGAACCCGACCTCTTGCCCGGCAGTCGCACTTGCGACCACTAGGCCAACGAGGCAGTTGATATAAATAATAACTTACAAAAAGAATCCGAGAAACCTTAAAAAACAACTTGTTTATTGATTTCTCTACTAATAGGGGGTGCCAGTGCTAGTTCACCTTTTTGCAGTCTGCTACCGGCGGTCAGCTCGAGTTTGGATCTCTTGCCAAAAGTAGAGTTATGTTGAATTAAGTACCAAGCCAGTCTCTTTTTCTCACTGGGCTTGCAGTGGTCAGTCCCCTCTTTGAGGAGTCGCTTGAGAGACGTTACGGCGTCCTCGCCTACCGTGTGCCGTAGGTGCTTAGCGGACAAGGGTGTTTCGGTAGGTTCCTGTTTCGGATTGGGTGGAAGGTAACGCTTTGGCGTCATCACTACGAGGACCGCCCGGAGGACACGATGGAGCATACGGTGGCGGTGTGCCCTGCGTGGGCTGAGCACCGCCGTGTCCTCAGGGATGTGGTCGGCGAAGGTGACCTCTCGAGGCCGGCCCTGGTTCAGGCCATGGTGCGGAGTTAGGGAGACTTGTATGGCATCTCCTTCTTCAAAGCAGCCATGCTAGCCACTGAGGAGACGGGGCGCGTGAGGGAACGAACCACCTTCCGGTAGACACTCCGGGTGTCGGAAATCGCGCGACGATCTCAGGCCACCGTAAGCATGGATCTGCGGACGGCAAGCAAAGGTAGCTCACCGCCCGATCAGAACCGTCTGCCGGCGCCGGACTGGAGAATTTGGCTAAAGACTCTCAGTAGGATCTCGCGATGGGGCGAACGAAATCGCTTGACTTTTGCACCCCATAAAACTTACCAGCTATTGCTTAAAGGCAATCTAAAGTCATGGCCGTCTATTAAATTTAACAATGTTTCCGTAAAACGAAAGGAGTCTGTTTGTTACCTCGGTCTAGTATTGGAAAAAACTTTTCTTTCATTGAACATATTAAGGCTAGTGAGAAAGCCAAAAATAACTTCTATGCGCTGACGCGAATTTCAAAAGCCACCTGGGGTCTCTCTTTTCTTACGCTTAGGATCATATACGGAGCAACCTACTTGGGATGCGTGTGCTACGGGGCACCTGTCTGGACTGATAAGGCCACAATAGGCGCGGTACGGCGAAAACATAATGGCATCTCCTTCTTCGAAGCAGTCATGCTAGCCACTGAACCACACCTCCGAACTAACCACGGAAAATCAAGGCCAGCGTCTAGCCTTGATTTTCCTGTGTAAGGCCTATAGGACGGTTAGCACTGAGGCCCTACCTGTGCTCGCAGGCGTACTTCCGGTAGATCTTGAGGTGCAGCGACGTGCTGCTATGTACTACAGTGCGAGGCCTAATTTGTCAGCAAGCTTTCTGGCACAACGTGATAGAAATAAAATTGCTAGATTGTTTAAGCCAATAACGGACGATTGGAGCGGTTCACTTCGTTGTGGGAACCAAGACAGTTACTCATGTCCCTGGGACGCGCCGGACTTCAGTGTTCTGGTGTTTTCATGGTTGTATCTACTGTAGATCCTGGCTTACAGGAGTTGCAGCGGTTTTGGGAGGTTATGGCGCCCGACCAGAAACCCAGACGGTACGTCGCGGTCCGGGCGCGCCTCAAAGAGTCATCGGACCATTACAGATGGGGCCCAGTAGGGCTCATGCCCGATACGGAGACGCGAAAGGCCTAACGGGTTGCCGGGGCTCCTGCTCTTCGAGTAGGGTGAAGGTTCGAGCAGGAACAGGGTGGTTTCGGTCCCTCTCGCCTAAACCCCTTTTCTCAATTCTCACCTCAAGACATATGTGATACGTCCCATTGGGAACTTTTCAGATTGACTTGGGTTTTCAGAAGCGTCATAAGTAGATAATATCCTATTGAAGTTCAGGATTCGAACCTGGTACTATTATTTTATTCATTTCAAAATAAATAATGTAGTTAATGTGTACTGTTATGCCTCTTAGTTTCAGGAAGTCTATTGTAAATCAGGCCTAGAGTCCAACTCCTAGCCTTTGTATTAATTGTCATCGGTACTTCGATGTTCAGAGTTTTTATAAGTGGGTCCACTTCAGCCAAGGTCATGAATCTTCAGATATTTTTTATAGAGGGTGGGTTTCTAGAAGGTTCGCAAAATTAGTAATTATTCTGGGTAAGATTTCATAAGTTTAGTATACCCATTGCAGTCCAACTCAATTCTACCATTGTGAATTATAGATAAATTCCAAGTGTCAGTCAGGGTTTAGATAAACCTTTTACAATTTGAGACTTGATACCTTCTAACCAAGAGTAAACAATAAAAACTCACTTAAATAATATTATAAACATTTAATTCAAGTAAGATATGTATTTACAAAAATACACACAATTTCATTGTTTAATGATATAAAACGACTGAATTTGAAAGGCGTTTCCACAGGCCGATGTGGAAGACTTTTGGCGAGGTTGAAGCTCAGCACTGGTCCCCTGCTGGCGACCGGACCGCTGCTGGCGCCCGTGGCTGGTACCTACAGAAAACAAATCACATGTTACAATCTTGACAATGGATAATTGACATCGCTCAAAGGACTGACAGCCAATGGGCCAGGAATAAATATTCGAGTGGCGACTACTGACCGTTAGACGTAGCATTGGCAGACTTCGTCAGTCACGGGGAGTCATTGGATGACTGATGAGTCATTGTTCGATGTTGAGGGCTAAATGAAGGCCTCCGTTTAGTAGTGGATGTCTTCCAGCTGATGATCATGAGTGTTGGCCCATGTTACTGCTGCTGGCGCCTATAGCTGGCCCCTAAATAGAAAAAGTTACATGTTATCATCTCATACATATTTTTTTAATAAATGTATTTCTTTGAACTTACAACGCAGTTGGATAAACCAGCCTGGCATCGAATCCAGGACCTGATGCCCCACAACCCGGTCTTTAACCGTTAGACCTGTATGAGAATGAATATTATAAAACACCACAGTAGGAGATGGAAATATGTCAAACTAAAAATTTATTTGTTCAAAAGTAACTATGAAAAATATGTCAACACTCTGTCCTGTAATTCCATTGAGGTATTGTGGAATGACGCTCCATTAATTAGATTTTACACCCGGTTCCTCCTGTGAACATAAGAATTATAAATGAATTTCAGAATATACCAAAACAATATTTCACTTCCTCTTTACTGCGCAGTTCCTCGTAATGAATAAAATTAGACGTGAGGCAGTTTCAATTTGATATTAATCTCTGTGTTACATTGTGAATTTAGGAAACATAATTAGATTTTTGCAGTCTTTAAAGACAAACTCTTTAGTACAAACAGAAGATTAATTAGGTAAATATAAATAAAAACCAAATGACACATACAAGCGTTTAATGACCCGGACAGGTATACAATGCTACTGCTAACACCGACTTATATTTTACGTTTACATAACACAGAATAATGTCGCAAGGTAATTTGATAAACTCATATAAAAAAGAATAATAAATGTGCTCCAACATGCGGGCATTTGAATACCTGCAGTACTTATCTTTAATGACCTGTTTGATTAATTAAAATTATATAATAATATTCAGAAAAACGTCAGCGCTTGGTTTTACATCATACATTGCGAATGAATTATTTCATTCAATAAAATAAGTTGAAATAAAAGAAAGCTTTCATTATTCATCTTGCATACTTTTTAGCGAACGTTCATCCATCTCTCATACATTTTGAGGTAAATTTTCAGCACGCTACTATCCATATTGAGACAACTTCCAATGAGACTGATTACACTGCTTGCAAAACGTACGTTGACCGGCAATTTCGAAACATTTTTGGGATGGTTATCCCTACTCTATATCCTCCGCCTTCCATCTTAATGCATCCTTTCACACAGCATCCACACATTCCGATCACTTTTCATACAGCTTACAAACAATTTAATAACTTTCATACACACTGGCATACCGATAACCTTATAACTACGTTAGAATAATTGAGTAAAATAACGATAGATTTAATGAAGTAAGGATAGTGTAAGATACAGAACGCCACTGCACTACCTAATCCGATGGCTAAGACCTGCTCGTATTCCTACTGCTCCTATCAAAACCTAGGATGATGAGAACCATCCTTGATACTTGACATTGGAGTATCTGACCAAGTGACGAATAAGAAGGAAGATTTAGAGAGGAAAGGAGGCAAGGGATGATAGAAAGGCATCTAGCCCTCGTGTCACTCGAACAGATCACAGATCTCGTATAAGTCTAATTTGAAAGAAGAGGTATTAATTACTGATTAACATCAAAAGACAGGCTTCGTATGTTAATTAGGAATTACACCTCTTAATTAAACCATTGAGAAAATAAAAATAACGCATCGGCTTTTAAATGTCACAAGGACACGATCTCATTCCCGCGCATAGTTACCATCTGCCACCATCGCTGCTGCTGTTCTCGCCGCCCAAGAAGGTGTAGTTCCTACCTGTGAACTCACAAATCCTTTGTATTTAATAGCCGTATAGCATGTTGTTTTACAAATAGCGCCATCGTTGGCACTGATCTTATAAATAAGGAGACCTATCGGTCTCAAGTTGACAGTTGTCAAGATAAGTAATCAATAAATAGTTAAAATAGTTCAAGTTTAGGTTAGTTATAGTAAGATATTTAGGTACTTTCGTGAGTTTTAATATTATTCTCAGAAATAACGGTTGCCTACAAATAGGGAGAGCCTGAGTTTCTTGATGGTGCCTTCTTATTTTGGGATAGGATGGCAATCGAGCAGACGGATCACTTGACGGTATGCTATCATCGTCGCCCATGGACACAAGAGGTGTTATAAGTATATTGCCAACCTTTGGGGGATGGGGGGGGTGGGTTGGGTCTCCGGTAGCCTCACTCAGGTAGCGAAATAAGTAAAATGTTGATTTACGCCAGTCTTCTGCGAGGCCGATGGAATCAATCCGGTCGACCCGTCCCGAGGCTCTCCCAAGAAAGACGTTTCGATGAAAAGACCAATGAGATTTCGCTTAACTAGATCTGTGAAATAATCGAGTGAAAAGTTTGAGGTCGATGTTAATTGGAAAGAAGAGGAATGGGAAACGTGGAAAATACCTTAGTAACCTTTTAAAACAGACGCAGGTGAACATTATGAGGTAAAAACCGCATTACTTAATTTTTTTTTTACAAATAAGGCTAGTCGGAGATTAAGTTACTGCTAGCACAACAAATAAGCCATCACTAGATTAGAAGTCCTTAAATAACGGACACAGCGCTGTAAGGCCCGCTCCGTGGCGAGTTGTTAGGGGACGAGTTGCTTCGTCCAGTGTAAATAGTCCAGTACGTGGCGGGACCGACCTCGCTGTGAGGTTATGTTCCTACAGATGTTTGTGTGGCTCCGATGTGTCGCGGTCACAGTAACCGAGTACGTACGTCTAAGTACGCAAGTGATACCTGGTACTTATGTGGCGTACCGATAGCACTACGCAAATGATGCTTGTATCGTATCTCCGTTGAAATAAAATAGTAAATTAACGATAGAAGAAAAAGTGAAGTAATCACTTGCGAATATTTTTCGGAAGTCCTTAAATAACGGACACAGCACACTAAGTCCCGTACCGTGATTTGTTATTAGATGACGTCATACTACGTCTCGCGACCAGTACGTAACGGGACAGAGTTTGCTGTGAGGTTACGTGTTTCTATAGATATGGGTTGGGCCTCCGGTAGCCTCACTCAGGTAGCGAAATAAGTAAAATGTTGATTTACGCCAGTCTTTTGTGAGACCGATGGAATCAATCCGGTCGACCCGTCCCGAGGCTCTCCCAAGAAAGACGTTTCGATGAAAAGACCAATGAGATTTCGCTTAACTAGATCTGTGAAATAATCGAGTGAAAAGTTTGAGGTCGATGTTAATTGGAAAGAAGAGGAATGGGAAACGTGGAAAATACCTTAGTAACCTTTTAAAACAGACGCAGGTGAACATTATGAGGTAAAAACCGCATTACTTAATTTTTTTTTTACAAATAAGGCTAGTCGGAGATTAAGTTACTGCTAGCACAACAAATAAGCCATCACTAGATTAGAAGTCCTTAAATAACGGACACAGCGCTGTAAGGCCCGCTCCGTGGCGAGTTGTTAGGGGACGAGTTGCTTCGTCCAGTGTAAATAGTCCAGTACGTGGCGGGACCGACCTCGCTGTGAGGTTATGTTCCTACAGATGTTTGTGTGGCTCCGATGTGTCGCGGTCACAGAAACCGAGTACGTACGTCTAAGTACGCAAGTGATACCTGGTACTTATGTGGCGTACCGATAGCACTACGCAAATGATGCTTGTATCGTATCTCCGTTGAAATAAAATAGTAAATTAACGATAGAAGAAAAAGTGAAGTAATCACTTGCGAATATTTTTCGGAAGTCCTTAAATAACGGACACAGCACACTAAGTCCCGTACCGTGATTTGTTATTAGATGACGTCATACTACGTCTCGCGACCAGTACGTAACGGGACAGAGTTTGCTGTGAGGTTACGTGTTTCTATAGATCTTATAATTTTTTCGCGTGATTTTAAACTAAAAGAAGAGAAAATATGAGAATTAGGACAAAGAAGTGACTTCATTTTGCACATAGTATAATTTAGGAAGTAAGTCACTGCTAGCACAACAAATAAGCCATCACTAGATTAGAAGTCCTTAAATAACGGACACAGCGCTGTAAGGCCCGCTCCGTGGCGAGTTGTTAAGGGATGAGTTTCTTCGTCCAGTGTAAATAGTCCAGTACGTGGCGGGACCGACCTCGCTGTAAGGTTATGTTCCTACAGATGTTTGTGTGGCTTCTATATGTTGCGATCACAGCAATCAGGTTCGTCCATAACATTTTAATGAATTATTTAATTTAGTCATCATCGTAAAGGCTTTTATGGTGTTAATAAAGGAGTTCTATAGGTGTCTTGTCGATTAGAAATGCGCGAGTCATGTTAAGGAAATTAGAGAATTATGATGAAGAAGAATTTATGACGAAGTTTTTGATTCGTGGGCATAGACGCCTAAAGTAGAATAGATGTAAATTAAAAAATAGTTAGTTTGAAATTTGTCACATGGAAACGATACCGCCTATAGATGTTATCAATTTCCAACCAAACAACAGTACCTAAGTTCACGCGATTCCAAAGTGACAGTTCAGAAAGAAATAGAATAGAAAGATAGACAAGTGAATCCCGCCCACCAGATCCGAAGTTACCGCTCGAAGACTATCGACTATCCTTCGGAAGTCCTATGAGATAACTGACACAGCGCCCTTTATTGAGCGCTCCGATTACAGTTTACTTTAAGGTACAACGTCAAGTCAGTCAGTCGTATCGTGCAGTGTAACAACAACGGTCCAGTGAACTTCATCACTAGAAATGTACGCCTTTTCTTTATTTGTTATGTTTGGCGATATTACGTCGCAACTACCGTTCATAGGACAAAAGTCGCAACTTTCGAACATTAGAACCACTTATCCTAATCAAAATTATAAACAACGAACCTAACGATAATCAAAAGAATGTATCTAATTCAAAAAAATAACACAGTGTAATTATATTTCAAGTAATTGTGGATAGACTGAATTAGACTGGCTACCTTTGGGCTTCAAAACCTTAATCACCTGATGTTCAAGTACTATCCCCGTCATAAAGATAATATAATCAACAAAACAAGTCTAAACGAGAATTAATTACTAAAAATAAATATCAAATTACCTGCGACATATTTGACGACAATACACATATATTTTAGACATTAAGAGGTTAATTAAAAGCAAGCAGACTGCAGAACGAGAAGAAAAGGAAATGTGAAAAGAACATTCGTTAAACATGGCAGTGTTATACGAATAGGCCGCTGGTTTAGTTGTCAATGTTTAGGGGATCCGCCCGTTGCATACAAATTAACAATTTAACATGAGATACCAATCCACCATCAATCGAGATCGTTTAACAGTTCTGAAATTTCATTGCGATCATAATGATGTTTTTTTTTGCAATATTCGTTCCACCTCATCTTTTCGCTGTCAAAGCAGATGCCCTAAAGGAATAATTTAAGAACAAGTTCAAGCAAGCTCACATTTAAATAAATAGTCCGACTGCAATCTGCTTACTGTGCAAAGAGAATTTCACTCTAGTGATTACAGTAACACCGAGAAAGTACTTATATTGACATCGAAACTCTTAATTCACGTATCAAATAAATGGACAACCGGTCCGATCAGAAACAAATGAAATAAAAAAAAAACTTACATCATTCTCTTATGCAACATAACATTACAAATTGTGTGATGATGACACGGATGAATCAATGAATGAATGCAATCATAATTTGACGTTCTTATTAAATAAAGATTAAAAAAAAAGTTTACGCAAAAACAATAAAAGAAGCTGTTTCCTCTTTAACCTCCAGTACTCGCACTCTCAGTTTAATAAATGCGTTTTGCGTAGGTATACTCAGTATTTTTTTTTCAGAGTATAATACCATGATCTTAATGATATTGGGCAGCGAGTTTCAGCACTCGTATTCATTCATCTGTGAGTGCGTAGGACACATCTGGATGTTTTCATTCATAAACCATAAGAAGATAAATTAATTGTAATTAATTATAAGGGACATTTAGGTAGTTAGGCTTAGGCATTGTTTTATGAATGAATGAAACCGTGAAGTGATTGAAAATGTTGATTACTTAAGGGAAAATGCTTACATTTGCATATCGCTACAGACACATATAAAACATTAATCTTAGAAGTGTAAATAATAAATACTGCTTAAATATTACATACGCGACGTAGTCACGTTGTAGCAAGCTGTCAGCGTAGATTAATTAGTTCGAAGATAATAAAATTTCGTAAAATGTTTCCATCCTTAAATTTTGTTGGTTTACACCTTATTACAAATTAGTTTCCATAACAACAGACTTTTTTGCAAATAATTTCAGTAAATGATACCTTGACATTTTGTCTTTTTTAGGTTACTGACAGCCTCATACATCTTACAACTATGTACTACACACGGGATTTATATCCGTTTTACATTCAGATTAAATATATCATTGATTAGCATATCGGGTACTGACATGACTTAGAATTATATTTGATCACCGCTTTGTAGGGTCATTGCCTCAAACAAGAGAACCCAAAAGTCTCAGCCAGGTATAATAGTTTTGTCTCAATAATGACAACAAGTTGTCGTATCTATCCGGACAAGCCGAAAATGTTTGTCGTATCTGATGTTCGTTGTAAATGCTCAAATAAGTAAATTTTTATTTTATTTTGAACAAAAAAAAAATAAATAGCCGAAGACGTATACCGAAGAAGACATTAATGTAAAGAATATATTCCTCTGTCGAAATGACAAAAGAAAAGAAAATGTGAGATGGGGACAGGGTCAAGTAGAGAGAATAGATTTGGTATACCGCATAGAGGAAATCGACTGTAAAAGTCGGAAAAGTTAAAAATGTTGGGGTACAGGGGTGAGAGAAAGTAAATGACAAATGTGAGAAATTTATAAAACTCGAAGATAGTGAAGAATATGGCGTTAGGAGGAAAGACAGTAAAGGCGGAGGGAGGGGGGGGGGTGATGAAGGGAAGAGTGAGAAGCAGTGGGACGGGCAGGCGCGGGGCACTTCACCATCATTTAGTAAACGAAACACGGCAAGGTGTGTGTGTGTCACGTTGATCTCCCATTTGACAACACGTGCTTGTAAATGTGCCCCAGCAATAGAAGGAAGATGGGGGACGGGGAGAGAGGACAAGAAGCGCGGACGGGGGACGGGGCGGGGAAAGGGGAAAGCGTGGGCTCCGGACCTCATCACTCACCGAACGAAACACAGCAGCTTGAAGGTCGCTATTGTCCGCCGATTTGTGAGAGTGTGGTACTACCCCGGTCGAGCGTGCCCATACTACAGCTGACACAGCTGTGCTCTACCACTGGAGAAAATAGACATAAAAGTCGGAGACAATAGTAAAATGAAATGAGACAGGGGCATCGGTAGTTTAATTTGACACCTTTGTTATTCTTTACCAGTTCTGGATTTTTATTTCGATAATAGCGACTCGACGTGTTTCAAGAGACCATCATGCCGGTGAGCATAGTTGATAACGCATTTTATAATCAGAATCGCCCAATGTCTACGAACGCTTTATATTTAGCTTCGTGTGTCAGGAACCGATAACATATTGTCTCATGTCACAATTTCAGAATGGGGTTTTGAGAAGAATGTGTGTGTTGTACATTTAGAAGGGGGGGGGGGAGGATTTTAGAACACAAGGAGAATGTAAGATTTGTTACATTGAATCGAAGGGATCCAAGGTACGTTTTCAGGCAAAGATATAACGAACTGAAATTTTGATCAGTACACGACAGACAGGTTTATAAACCCAACCAAATGATCATCCAGCTACTTAATTCTACCCAGCGAGACTAAATAGATAATGCCACTCAGACCAGTTTGTCACTCTGTACAGCTTACGTATACGTCACTCAAGCGTGGTACAAATCAAATGATCATTTTACCTACAAAATGTTTAAACCTGTTGCATCACCAGCGCGTGCCTAACTTGTGATCGATTTACACTCGGATTACTTCAATGAATGATGCAAACAAATCTTGGCTTGTCGTTAGAGAGAACTTTATTATATCACCAGGCTTACTTGGTGATCGCAGTTACATCATACTAAATGACGTTGCTGCTTATCTAAGTAGTCATTTCCGGTTTCGTACAATACCGATGGGGATAAGTTTGACCGTATTTTCAATCTGAGACTACGGCCGCGCGAGAATCACCACGAGAGCAATTTCGGACAAGAATGTAGTCGCGCTTAATTCACTTCCCCCATCAAAGGAAATTATTTTTCGAAAACATCTTCTCGACGTAATCGAAAACAATTCCATGTATATCCGTAAGTGTTTAAAAGCGGTGATCAAAAAAAGTGATTACAGGTATTATAGATTACGTCCTACATGACGATAGGTATAAATCGTACACATCATTGCAATTAAATAGTTATGACAAATTACGGAATACATCACGATCAGTGTAAATCGTACAGTGCATTGGAAAATAAATTGTTTTGCCTCACCTACATTTCCAATGCTTGTACAAAGAGTATGCACACACACAACATCAATAATTTATCAAGTCCAAAGTACAATTTGGGACCTGGGAAACACAACTGCTTTTAAACTGGCTTCACTTGATTATAATTTATTTTCTTCTGGATTCACAATGAATGAATTTGTGTATCCCAGGTCCGAAGGTCTTAGCCTTCTTAAAGAAACGTGCACTTATCTTGCTAAATGAGGTTAAGGTTCTGCAGACGATGGTTGAAGCATTCGGGATGATCGTGGAACCGCGGACCGGCCAGCATGTTCTCCAGCACGTCCTCGTTGTCTTTCAGAGCTCTGTACATCGGCTGCCACGTGCCGAAGTTGAGCTCCATTAATTGCGTGGCCTTCTTAGCGATCTTCAAGGTCTCGCGGATCCAATCCTTTATAGCCATTGGCTGGCGTTCGCTATAGAATAAAAACTTTTATTAGAAATGTTAAATCTTGAATTTTGAGATGGGTGTGGTTACACTGTAAGGATGTACCATCTATACTTGCATAGGCACTCCAGGGACCTAGCCAATCAAGTGTAACAACGGGAGCACACAGGAAATGAACAATAAATCAATCCAGTCGCATTGTACCACGTCTATGCACTGTTACAATTGGGATGCACTCTTATACGAAAGATTTAAAGTGGTAGACTCTAGCATAAGTGCGTCTACAGTAGACATAAAAGAAAACCGGAGTGACCACGGTTTCATGGAAACCTCGTTTGTGAAGTTACTGGACCTCTAATTAATTCACTTCCTTCCTATCTTCTATCCATAATCCCCAGATAGCCGGTAACGCACTTGCAATTCCTTTTGCGTTGTATAAGTAGTGCTGGTTATTTACCATCAGGTATTTCACCTACTCATTTCCCAGCCGAGCACATAGAAAAAGCTAAGTAAAAGAATACTCACTCTAATTCAGGATTGTCTAAATACTTCATGATGCGTCCTAACATAAGGTTCGCCATCTTTCTGATCTCGTTGGTTACCTGTTAACAATGGACACAAAAGTATTAAAACACTTGAAAAAAGGTAAATTATACAAACATACAACTTAATGTGTAAGCACAGAGTTCAAAATAACGTACCTCAACGCTGAATGACCCAAACTGGTACTCGAAACTCTGGATGTTTTGCTTTATCAGATCTATGCTTTTCGTGTACTCTCCTGCAACAGTACAATGTATTAGAAAGTAGAATTAGGCAGTACAAGTATTGACTATTGATGGCAAACGTGAATGACATCAATTTTCGAAATTCTCAGCCTTAGGACTATAACAAAACAATAGAAATATTTTTATAAGAAAACCGTCATGGCGTTTTTGTTTTTTTAGTATCGGCTGCGTCGTTGACCAAGTTGTCGCATGTGGGACTGCCGGGCAAAGGGTCTCGGGTTCGATTTCCGGGCCGGGCAAAGTATTACTGAGTTTTTTCGAAAAAACTCTCAGTAGTAGTACGGAGATTGGAATTGTGCTCGGTATATGGCAAAAGGCTCACCCACTATTACAAGGGACTCATAACATAGAGGTAAATAGTAAAAAGTAGGTGTTACATTTCACAGTGGCATTGAGTGCCATAATGTGCACCTCTGCATACCCTTTCGGGGATAAAAGGCGTGGTGTTATGTTATGTATGAAATTCTCAGAAGTGACTGCCTCTTGCAATTCCTAGATGTTATGGAACAAGGAGATCGTAACATAACTGGAAATATCATTACAAATTGTAACAACAAATTTGGACACACAAAATTTGTTCTGTGTTCTGTTAGATCCCCCACCTATGACATATGCGCAGCAGCCCTCAAATGCTTAGCCCCGGCTTAAGCCTATAAGTTTAACTGTTTTGGTGTCCATGGGCGGCGCGGATTGCTTACTATCAGGTGATCCGTTTGCTCGTTGGTTCCTTATGCCATAAAAAGTAACAGAGTGCGAAGTGGCTCACCTATAGCAGCGTATAGCATTGCCAGGTCATCAGAAGCCTTTCTCAATATGTTATGATGGCGATACAAAACTTGCTGCATCAATCGATAAGACCGAACCATTCGGTCGCAACGCTCCTCTTTAGTTCGAGCGCGCATGGCTATATAAACAAATATATCATTACCAAGAGAAGATTATATTTATGGTCATTGACAAAGAAATTAAGACTTTATGTTATATTCAAATATGAACTTTATTTCAATATATTCTTGTAAAAATGGAGGTTTTAAGTTCGACTGCTATTACACATGTCTTCATATGGTCCTCCAGATATGATTGACTTTGTTAAAATTATAATCTTTTATAATTTCAGTATAAAACTAAAATATTAAAGTGGGGACACACCATCTGAATTGTATGGTTAAATAAATTGAACATCATATGCACGAAGGTGTCTACAGATCTGTACAATGTTTAAATAGGTAACGCAATTAAGTAGGCGTCGATGTTGACAGATCTGTAGACCTTCTAGCTCCTGACACGACATTAAACAGAAAGGTAGATAGTGCTTCTATCTACAAAGCATAGAGCGGCGTATGTTAAATGTTTGAAATGAAGAGACAAAACACTGAACTCAAATCTAAACACAGCTTCGAAATATTGGCTGTAACAAAACCAAAACGAAAATAACAAAATGATCTAAAACTAAACAAATAATATAACAACACATTTTACACAATAATCAACCAAACAATGAAATGTAAGCAGGTTGTGAGATACCGGTCGTTTACCACTAAAGAAGGTAAAGGCACGAGAGAACATAGGTACAAAGTTGTTTGGTACCAGGTCTCGGCACCTCCCCCCTAGTACCTGGTACCTTGGTGCGCAGTCAACAGCAGTTGCAACAGGAAAATGGGAAGACATTCACGGTTACAGCACATTGATACCGTACCTTGGTGCACATATTTGTGACTTCGGGTGAACGTGTTAATTATGTCTGGAATCTTGAGTTCCTTATGGCACCGCTTGCAGTTAACTAACGCAGAACATATAAGAGAGTAGAAATTGTATCAGACTGAAGAGATTGCTAACACATGAAAGATCAACACGGTGATTGCAGAGAGCCAGCGACTTGAGCTCGTACCAGTCGGCCAGCTTATTCAAAACTCATTTGCAAATGGCGGCGCCGGCACCGATGCCTACATCCAATCACACTTACTACATCGTCCTTGAATTAGAGAATTTTGCGATGTATATCGGTGCCGTACGGTCCCTAACATGCCAATCGTGTCATCTACATACAAAATCACATCTATACAATTTGTGTCTCGTCCGCTGTTACAAATGAGCACTATCCACAGTCAACGTGTTCATGGAAATATCTATTTCAACTCCAGGATCGAATCCTGGAGTTGAATTAGAAATCTACCACGAGAATATCCTACATAGGTCAATAGAATTTTATATAATTATTCGATGAACTTGCACATAACAATTTTCTTCTTACGTAGAAAATTATTGGGGTCAACGTGACTAGGCAGGCTAATGTTCTTTTGGTCTATGGGTCATCGCTCACCTACTTCTCTTATATGTTCCGATATGTCAAAATTATCATAAAACCTTAAAATCTAATGGATAAACAATTAATAACTGTACTAAAAGCCGTTGCCCAGTCAGGGAACAATAGATAGTAAGAACCAGAAAGTAACCACACCAATTGCTTCGTGACCCAGTAGATTTCCACGTTTCCAATAAGTTAAAAGTGATTTTATAGGAAAATTGACTTCGTGTGCAAGTCTGGGTGCCGAGTCGGTGTAGGCTTTTCCAGGTTGACCAATCACAACGTAGTTTTATATAAGTACATTAACAAACACGCCCAGCCCAGCGTTATTAGAACACGTGGCGGACCAAAACATAGCCAGTTATACAGCATAACAGTAATGTTAAACTGGGATAAAGCTTTAAATATAAAATTGGATATTTGGGTATAAGCAATAAACATGAAAGACGGACATGGGGACTTTACTGTTCGCTGCAAGTATAAGGTCGTTCAATTCCTCGGCCTGTGCCTGGGCACAGCGGACGAGAGAGACCAGGCGTGTTTCGGAGGGCGGTAATGTTTACATGTGTACAGTACCTATTGCGTGCATTGCATCAGCAGTCTCAGCAGCATTCTGGGCTCTTTGCAGCGGGAACTCATTGGGACACTGGTGGCAACACATTCTCGTCCCTTCCCATGTAACAGGACCTTTGCATGACGAGCATGCGTACGCCGAAAACAGCGACTGAGGGAGGGATAACGTGATATTCAGGGGGTCAGAATTACAACATTGAATGGAGTGGACTCTGTGACACTGATCGACTACTATACTGTTAGTTAACGTTACCTACGAGTGAGCAACAAGTAGGAACAACTAGGACTACCAGTGACTAGTCAACTTATTTTTACCACTTTAACTTCAATGGAGTTTCTAAACAAAGGGTTCGAAGTTACAGTTAATACTAACTACCTAACTATTGAATGGCAATTACAATACGAGGTACTTACGACAAAGTCTTTTCTGGATTCGTCGACGCAGGCAGGGCACATGCAGTTGAAGCCGTACTGGATGCGGAGGGCTTCGCGTCTGTCGTCGGTGGAGGCTCTTGCATAGTGGGGACCGTAGCAATTGAGAACTTCACCCCCAATGGGCAACTCACGGATCACTTTAACGAAGAGGTGGTTCTTGTAGAACCTGTACGTGGAAATAACATGTATTAATGCTTTGCTGTAAAAGAGCTTGTGGGACAAATGCCAAACCGTAAACAATAACAAAGACTTACACATTTGTGATATTGGGCTCACAAGAGTGATTCATCATTGAAGCGCTCGGATATATCCCCGTTCCAACTCGACGCCAGGGGCTGGCTGTGCACGGTACTGTGAAAGATATCACATGTCATTAGATCACCAACTTCTCGTAATTATCTGAATTAAACGGCTATACAGAGGAAATCAGTTACTTACTTGGCATGTTTGGATTTTGACCGGTATTCAATTCCATTACCGTGTGTGCGTTGCTAATCAGTTGGCCCAAGCTACGGAATATCAAGGCTGCGCACAAGAGCTTCATTTCGTTCATGGGTAGGGGATACCCAACCCTTGCCGGGAAATAGTCGAAAAACTTTGTATTTTGTTCCAGATACAGAGTCAGCATGGTGGACGACTGAAAGAGAAGATCACTATAAGAAATACGCACTATAAGATAATTAAATTATTGAAATGTAAAAATTGAAATACTCTACTTACTAGAGCGTACTGAATGTTGTCAGTGTTTGCCGAAGTGCCCAGGTTGGACGAGAGGTTGAACATACGATAGAAAGACTCTGTCTCCGTCTTGTAGATGTGGATGTTGTCCACCTTGCTGTACTCAGCGATTAATGCGGCAGCAGTAGTTGGCGTGCCAGCAGACTCCGGAAGCCGAGGGAAACCCTTATGGGCGTATTTTAACATAACCCTAAAAACAACGACAGTGTAATATCTAGAATTTATGAATTGGGATGTTTCCAACATGTCATATTCAACCTTATTTGGGAACATTATTGTAATATTATTATCGAGTTCCACATTATTTTTTTTTATGTAAAAATGTGTATGGTATACCATTAATTTTATAATTTAGCGAAAGTAAGGTATCCATATAATCAAATCAATTATTGTCGTTAATTGAATTGTATTGAAAAGTTGCAGTTATTTATTTTTGACTTCAGAAACATCCCAAAAGTAACACTAGTCATATTCATGACGTGTGTTGACACCAAATTACCATATCACTTCACCCACTTGCAGTCCATATAAAGTCCAAACAGGGTTAAAAAAACCTTACCTAAAGGCCAAATGAGCGATCCCTATAATAGGGAATATGTTAGCTCTTACTCCGATACATTCCCAACGATGGTAAAAGTTTTTGCCGAGATAGTGGCAAGCTTCGTCGCAGAATACCACACGAGAGCAGTCGCTGCACCTACAAACGAGAGACGCATGAATACCTACGAAAGTCCAACGACACAATTCTATTCTGGAAGTGCAATTAGTTAGACTGCCTCGTTGGCCGAGTAGTCGCTAGTGCGACTGCCGGGCAAGGGGTCTCGGGTTCGATTCCCGGGTCGGGCAAAGTACTACTGGGTTTTAAAAAAAATTCTCAGTGGTAGCACAGAGTCTGGAATTGTGAATTGTATATGGCAATAGGCTCACCCCTTATTACATGGGACCCATAACATAAATAGTGAAAAGTGGGTGTTACATTGTACAGTGGCATAATGTACACCTCTTCCTACCCCTTCGGGGATAAAAGGCGTGATGTTATGTTATGTTTGTGTTATGTTATGCAATTAGTTAAATACTTACCCAATCATAGCCGAGTCGCTGCTGCAACAGTAGTCGCAGTAGTAAGGATGAGGCAGGTCCTTGTCCGGCAGTTTGACGGAGGCGAAAGGCTCCTCGGCGAATATTACGTCACCTCTCTTCACCGGGTCTTTCACCAGTACGTGACGCCCAAACTCCTCGTTCCGTCTGTGGACAAAGTTAAAGTTCAGTATCTGCTGGGAAATTACTATTATGTTAATTCGCACAAGAAAAATTTTATGGGTACTTGAAAAACGCTATAGTTACAAAATTTTAAGGTTATGATAGATTTGTTAATATATGCTAATTAAGATGGCATTGGATGGCATACTATTGTTTCTTCAAGTTTCCATATTGAACAAGAAATCTTTGCAGATGCATTTGTATTAAAGTTTCGCAGTCGCAAAATATCTTCGGGGATGCACGCTGGGACGATTCGATGACTGTCTGGCCCGCCGCCCCCACGGTGGCAGTGCTGACGACTAAGTGAGCACCCCACCACAAGGGAGGCAAGCCAGTGCGCTGATTAAAGATGAGTATAGTGCCTCCGATGGCCTCTCACAAATGTATTTGTATATATTAGAATCTATACATCATAATTTGCAAGAGGACATCTACCCTGTGATAACAACAGGGTTCTTGTAAAAACAATAGCATTATGCAGATTGTTTTGTTGTTTGACTTCTTGTCTTTCTGCTTGGTTCTCTTTTCTTCTCTCTTCATGTGTTACTTGGATCCGAGGTGGAGTCCATGTCTGATCTCGCTACAGAATAGAGTCGACAGGCATGGGCACCACCTAAGACCCGCGCGTCTTCTGTTCTTCAAATCTACACATCTTAAGGTACACAAAGTTATTAAAGTAACATTACAACTGGATTTTTCCAAGTATCGTGGGGGCGATCAAGAACAAAATTTGACATTTGTGTACAACTCCATGTTTTCTTTGATAAAACTGAATATAACTATTTTCATTGTATTTGCATTTCTATTTTCGATTTTTCGATAATTCTGTATAACACACGGTGTCTAGGTGGTCGTGTTGGCTGAAAGTGCGACAACAGAGTAGTCTTGAGTTGATGCTCAGGTCGGTTCAAGAGATTTAGAAAATTTCTTTAAACTTCATAATACATATACAAAAAGTGAGTGATAGATACATTATGCGCTTCTCCCCTACTGTTACAGCGATAAAAGATGCTGTTTAACCAGCTCTGAATCAGCCACATTCTGAAAACTTACATAGATACATATCACAAAAAATATGAAGTATTTACGTATAATTTGCTCTGAAAACAATTAACATTATGTTTATAAAAAGCTCGTATGCATATGCAGAAATCAGCGGTCGGTCTTTACACACACACAATAGTTGAAAAAGAAAATAACATTAAGGGCAAATGATACTTGATTACTGAACGTACTAAAACTGAAATCGGTACATATTCTTAATCCAAACCACATCACATTCTACTGAGATAGAGTGCATTTTATCATAAACAACTTAACGATGTATCGTTCTAGAAAATAATCTTGTTGCTTTTTTTATTATGTACTAGAATTACTACATACCTATTTGTCTACTTTCTCGCTTAAAATCATCAATGCACACTGTACACCAAATAAGTTAAAAAAAATAATAAGTAGGTGTAAATGTTTATACTCTGCCCTTCTTCATTTATCAAACCAATCTTCGCATGACTATAAATTAGATCTGTTGTAAAAAATTCTGGAATATTTACATTACATGTGCATATTTGAGTTGTTGGTTCAAGTTTCCCGCATCTGTATACTAAACACGACACGAAGTCTTCAAAGGCATCTAAGACGATTCGATGACTGTCCGGCCCGCCGCCCTTGCGGTAGCAGAGCTGACGATTAAGTGAGCACTGCCACCAGAAGGGAGGCAGGCCGGTGCACGGCGTGTCGGTATGTGCCTCCGATGTCTTATTCAGAAATATTTCTGAGGCACTTAGAAATATTCCGAACAAGACATCAAGCATGTCGCCAGGGCATTTAAACATCAATAAAGAGAAAAAAAGATCCGAGCCGTCAGTTACCCACGACAGTCCGGATTTTCCTTTCTTCATTGATGTTTATACCTGATGAATGGTCCTATTAAACAGTGTACTTCCAGTATGTGTTTAATTTGCGTAATTCTGATAGACGTCACTGATTGTGGTGTGTGTACACCTCAGTGACCTCTAGCAGAACTAAGCTTTAGTTCTTGCACGCTAAAAAAATAAGTAAACGCTAAACACAATGCATGGGTACAATTAACATTTTCCTTCAAGATTCTTCCTTTAGGAGGTACATTAAAATTATAACAAAAAGGTTGAAATTCCACTTATTATTTATACAGGTTGGTACGAGGACAACAAATACATATGTATATGTTACCGGCCAAACCCGATTTCAGGACAAACTAGTTCTTCCTATACGCGTTAGGATTAATAGTACAGCCCAGTTCAAAGTCAAAGCGTTTATTGCAACTAAGTGTACAGATGATGGTTATAAAATTATTTGTCCTAAGCCCGATAGGATAAACCAGTTTAGGCTAGGACAAACCAGTTGATCCTGATATAAATACGCACACTCTAGGATAAACTGCTATGGCCTAGTCATAATATGATTATTGCGTCTATTAAAAAACAGTGTGACTGCCTCGTTGGCCGAGTGGTCGCAATTGCGACAGCCGGGCAAGGGGTCTCGGGTTCGATTCCTAGGTCGGGCAAAGTATTACTGGGTTTAAAGAAAATCTCAGTAGTAGCACGTAGTATGGCATTGTATCCGGTATATGGCAATAGGCTCACCCCCTATTACATGGGACTCGTAACATAAATGGTGAAAAGTGGGTGTTACATTGTACAGTAGCATAATGTGCTTTCGGGGATAAAAGGCGTGATGTTATGTGATAAAAAACAGTTATTATTTGTTATAGTATGATTGTTTGTATTGCCAATAATTATCTACTAGCTGACCCGGCAAACTTCGTACCGCCTAAAAGTTTTTTCTCACCTTTTAAACCTTCCCTAGACTTCCACGAACCTATCAAGACACAACCAAATACTAACAAAATTAGCCAAATCATTTCAGCTGTTCTCGAGTTTTAGCGAGACTAACGAACAGAAATTCATTTTTATTTATATAGATAGATAACTTGTAGCGACGAATCATTATGATTTTAAATTAATAAAAATTTAAATAATTATTGCTTCTTCTAAAAAAAAACACATTTTATTTGTTATAGTATGATTATTACTATTACCAATTAACCATAACTTTTAACGACGAATCATTATAGTTTAATAAAAATGGTTATTTTTCCAATTACGGAGTATTTTATTCAATTTATCTATTTATTTTGACTTTCTAGATATATCAGAATGTTTAGACTAGACCATATTAGTTTATCCTAAACTGTGCGTATTTATATCAGGATCAACTAGTTTGTCCTAGCCTAAACTGGTTTATCCTATCGGGCTTAGGAAAAATAAGTTAATCCTAACGCGTATAGGAAGAATTAGTTTAGCTTAGGAAAAACTAGTTTGTCCTGAAATCGGGTTTGGCTGGTAACATATACATTATAATAAAACTGTAGAAATGTAAATCATGTACATTGAAAATATTAAAAAAGTGTGAGTGTTACTAGATAGGTATCGTGATATAACTCAAAAATGTGATTACAAATTTGTTTGTCTGTGTGTTTTTTCATGCATCACACAAAAACTACCGGTCCGATTACGATGAAACTTCGTATAATTATACTTTAATATCCTATACACTACACTGGGTCTTTTATCCCGAAAAAGTATATACACGAAAAAACAAACATAATTGTGCGACTGAATCTCTAGACACAGCTATTGTACCAAACGTAAATATAAGTTTGTCGAATATTAGGTTGTCCGCAATGGACTTTACGTTGAAACTGTAGGGACCGATGGTTGAAATTAGCTTGAACCGATATTATAAATGTGAAAATATGTGAGTTTCACTAAAATGATAAATATGTGAATAAAGAAGAAAAGTAATAATAATATGTTAGGAGGAATAATTATGTTATCCTAGTTGTAAGCATTTTTGTAATTGGTTTTATTGAATGTAAGATTTTTACTTTATTATATTGTAAAACTTAACTTTGCATGCCGAAAACAGTAGGCGATGTATGTGGGACTATTTTTTATAATTATTACTACCTGCAATTACCATACTTCGTGCAAATAAACGTTCTTATTCTTATTCTCAGTCACATCAAAACGGCTAAAGAGACAGTGATGAAATTTGGAATGAAGAAGAGGTAGATGAAGTAGTATGGTCTGAATAACCTATTTTATACCCCTGAGAACGCGTCGCTGGTTTTAATATTTTTGCGATTCCTGAAATTCTCAGCTACCTTTTGAAATACTCAGATATAGTGGTAAATACAACATAAAACAGGTATGACCTGATCGCAGATGACTTAAATCACATGCCTATGTAGTTACAGAATGAGATGTTGTATTACTTATTTCTATTGTAAAGACAATTTTTTTTTCGGGATTTTTGATGAGGAATTCCTTTTTTTTGAACTTTTGTTTCCCGTACTTGTACGGGCAGACCTCAGCACAACAATTTCGGTTCACATAAAGGACTTATTCTGTACGGGAATTGAACCCGCGTTACGTTGCGCAGCCACAGATAGTCATAGCGCCAACTGTGTAGTCAGTACATAACATAACTGGAGGTGAAAAGGGTCTAACTTTTTAATAGCTCAGAGTCTGAGGGTTTCAAAACGAGACCACATTCAGCGTTCTCATTGGTTGGTTCATTGGAGCCGGCCAATCAGAGCGCTGAACGCGGTCTCTGGTACTGTGGTCGGCGTATCCTATACAAATGGAAGTCATTTATTTATTTAATAATTTATGTTCACGCAAACAGCACAGAGGACATGTAAAATTCAAGTATATAGGTCATAAAAAGGGTCCTTTAAAAATGAGATAGGACAATAAATCATATTTTTTTGGTATTTACATATAGAACTCATAAACATAACTGGTAAATATTGAAGTACGAACCAACATTAGAACCAGTTCAAATACCCCTTATCTATTATTTCTTAAAAAAAAACTAGCAAACCCGGCGAACTCCGTTTCGCCACCAGATGGCTTCGTTTTATGTAACATTTCGTTTGG